AACTGCCCCACACTACCACTACCACCACCGACACCACCATCGCCGTCGTCGCCACACGGTCATTGTCACCCCACCACAACCATCACCGTCTCCTACCACCACCACTGTCACCCAACATCTCTCACCCCTCACTATACCTGATGTTTAAATTTATTTATCTCTCCTTTTTGTTTGTGATTTGATTTTGGATATAAATATAAATATGTTTATTGTTTACTATTTTTATTACTTTGTGCCTTCATGCACAAGCAATAACTAATATGCATATATTATGTATATATTAATTTCATATAAAAATATAATAATAAAATATGTATTTATATATATTTTTAAAAAAAATAAAAAAAAAATTAAATTAAAAAAATATTTTTTCATCTTAACCGCGGGTGAAAATTTTTGACTAAACACAATGACACGACTTGAACTTGACACGAACTTGATTAACTCGAACACGAAAAATAAACACGTCAACTCGACACGACACAATTAGTTAAATGAGTTGAGTTAAGTGTGGTTAATGTTCAACACAAACTCGTAATGACTCAACCCGAATCTAACATGATACGACTCGATTATCACCTCTAATATTAGTCAACACAAAAAAAAAATAGTCATTTTTATATTCCATCTATCCAACCAAACACAAAAGAAGAAAAACGTATCATTCCTACTTTATTTTTTTGAAAGATAAAAAATATATCATTTTTACTTTTCATCCTCTATACTTTCTACCTTTCTGCGTTAGAGTAACGTCTTAGCCTTAAACTTTGTTCGGCCATGGTTTTTCATTTGCTTGTTTAGGACTGGGCTGGACTGGCTGACATTAACATCACAATATAAGCCTATTAAAGCCCGGCCCATCCTCCAGGCTGTATTACCCACACAAGAGAATCGTTCGTATCGGTCAGTGATTTCTTTTTAATTTTTCATACTTAAAAGTAAAATAAATGTAGTTATATACATAAAATAGTATATAGTGAAAATTGAAACCAACTACGATATGACGAACTCTTTTGACAACAAAGATAGAAGCAATCTCTTCAGATTATTAAGGACACGTATTATAAATTTTTTTGTAAATAGGTCCAATAACAACAATAGAGTATTTTTACTATTCCCAGACAATAACAAAGATATTATTGTTACTGTCGTGGGACAATAATAGAGACACTATTACTATCGCGTGGATAGTAACAGTGACACTGTCAATATCTTATATATATATATAAAAATTATAAAAATTATAAAATAAAGGATATTTGAATTTATTTTAAATTTTAAAATGTAAATTTTATATGATTAGTTTAATTATGAAATATCTAAAATTAAAGAGATTTGATTTTGTTTGATTTTTGAATTGTGTATTTGATTTTGTTTGAATTTTGAATTGTATATTAAAAGAAAATAGGGTATTTTCATCTTTACACAAATAGATGTCCTTAAAATCCCACAAAGTATATGTTTGGATATTACTTTCAAAAATCCCTAATATATATTCATATATTAAATTAATATGGGTATCTTTTTAAGACCTGATTTGGAAAGTCCATAGCCCAATGTCATAGACCCAACATATCTGTGGCCCCCCCTAGTTGGCCCAGCCTAAATAAGATAAGTTGGACCAGCCTATCATCAGCAAAGCTCAGGCGTTGGTCCCATTGTTGAAGACACAACCCAAATCCAAGACGATATAGACCCATTATCAGTTCGGGGCATATGAAAGTATATTTTTTAAAATAATTGGGATAGAAGTATACATACTAAAAAAAATCATAATTACCTCTACCATAAATAATGCATACATAATTGAATGTAAGACTTTCAAGATTCTATTGATATTTGTATATCATTTGAATTTTGAAATTTCAAATAAAAATGCCAACGGACTTTTGGTCTAATCGTATTCCTTACCTTGTGAAAATATTATCTTCTTGAGGTCATAGGTTCAAATCTCCCTCTCCCCTCCCTCACCCCCCAAAACAAAATTAAAAAAAAAAGAAAGTAGCAATGCTTTTAAATTTTATGTCATGAGTTCTATCACATTCTCTTTCAGACTTCTTTTTAACTTTTTGTGATTATTTTCTTTTTTATTATCGAAAGAGCAATAGTATATGAATCTAATTTGAGGACTTAATCAGGAATCTAATTTAATACAATCATTGAATTAGTTTGTGAGTTCCAATATTAAATAGACCCACCACCAACCCAAGATTATATCGTCGAGCAATGTTATGTCATTTGTCTCTCCTCTTATTTGCTAAAGCATCTAAAGACAATGGGCTGTCTATCAAGAGGTTCCTCCAAGCATATGAATAGGCATCAGGACAAACTATAAATCTGGCCCAAGTCTGCGGCGGTGTTTGGTAGAAATGTGGGCAGTGCTGAGAAAGAGGAAATCGAAGAGGTGTTACAGATACAAATGGTGGATAGTCATGAGAAATATCTGGGTCCCTCATTGATTGTTGGTAAATCTAAACATGAACTTAAGGTAGAGAGTCTGGAAATAGATTCAAGGCTGACAGAGTAAGCTACATTCATAGGCGGGTAAGGAGGTATTAGGCTTCAATCAATTCTGGAGAAAGTGTTTATCGATTGATAATGGACCAAAATCCACATAAGCCTAATGGTGGGAAATGTGTGGTGAGTACCAGTTCTGGAAGATGGCAAGGGGATGATCTGTGGAACAAAATCTACATAAGCCTACGTGGATGATCTATGTGGTGGCTTTAAAGAAACAATGAAGCATATATTTCAGATATTGGGATTGTTACTGATCTAATCCAAGAGTAAGCAATCTGTTTTTCTAACACTTTCTCTCTCTTGGGTTTGTCGTTCTTGCAACAAACCAACCCATGTTTCAGGTAGAGTTGCAATTAATTGTAAGGATGTTGCTGTATTGCAGGGAGTCTGCTCCTTTATTTTTAGTTCTATCTCTTGACAATGTAACTCCAATTTCTAATTAATAGAATCGGCCATTTCTTATAAAAAAAAATGTTATTTAAACTTAATTTAGAGACTTTATTAAGTGCCTAATTTAATGAAGACATTGAAATAATTGTGAAGTTTAATATTGGATGAAGTCGGCCATCAATCTAATAATTATATTGAATTAGGTACGGAGATCAGATCCTCAAATTTGGTTTAAATAATATATATTTTTTTATCAAAAATGTGATATCAATTTATTTATATATTTTTTGTTCTAAAAAAGTAGAAGTAATATTTTAAAAGTTAATTACAAATTATACCCTCAAAGATCTTTCGAATATCAATTTATATCCTCGAAGATAAATTTTTTTAATTTATATCATCAAAGATATAATTTTGTATCAATGCACACATAAAGCTAACAATCGTCCATTTACGGTCTAAAATTAGTTGGGTAAGTTACACTTAGGCCTCCTCAAGTTTGTCATTTAACTCCCTCACATTTAGAGTATTACTCCTGCATTTTTTGACGTTTATGGACGTGTAACACATAACTTCTTGTCATTGATATCTATTAAAATAACAGTTGAAAAACCTAATTTTATCTTAATGAAAAATTATTTTTTGATACTATCCTTTATTTTATAGGCCTTTGAATAAATTTATTTAGATTCTCAAACGATGTATGTGTAATATTTTAAATATAAAGAGTATAAGTGATTAAATGACAAACATGTTAGATCTAGATATAATTTATCTATTTAGTTTTAAACGCCAAAGTGACTGTTGTTAGTTTTAGATGCATATTGATATAAATTTATATCTTTAAAGATATAAATTAAAATTTTTTATCTTAAAAAATATAAATTAAAATTTTTGATGGAAGATTCGAACGATAGCAATTTATGATTAACCCATATTTTAATAATAACTTTTGATAATGCATCCCAAACAAGCCCAGATGGCAGATCAACGTCTCCACCAGTGGCTAATTCACGTCGTGGTAATATATCACAAGCCGATAGCAAATCTTCTTAGAAACGTAATCAACTCTCTCTCTCTCTCTCTCTCTCTCTCTCTCAAAGTTTCTTCCTCTCAAAGCGACTAATCAAAGCTGAAAAATACTTTTCAGATCTCGTCAAACGTCAAGTCTCTCTCTTTCTTCTCTCACTCTCTCTTGTAGATCTTGAGCGCCGGAGCAGCTTCTATTGGCAGTTTTTAGCTTCTCTCTCTCCGCTTTTTTTCACTGTGTGATTCATCGATCTGACGCATACTAGGTACAATTGCATCAACAACTTTTACTTTTCTTTTTTCCGATATCTTGCTTAGATTTTCAGGAAATTTCTTGGTCTATTGAGGTAATCGGATTAGAGCTCTCAAGCTCTTGAATTCGTATCCCATTGGTGTATATATCAGTTCTTTAGAATAGATCCATATGTTAATTTTCTGTTTTGTGTAAATGTGTTTCAAAGATTGGTGTTTGTGAATCTATAAGTTCTTAATTTCATTGATCTATATAAAGTGGATGTCTTCGTTATTGTATGTGATGATTTAGGGTTTAACTCTATAGATACGTCGAGTGTGTGTCTTTGGATACGTTTATGTCTGGATCTGCCACGTCTGGACTGTTTATTGTTGTAAAGGAACTGATTCTTAGATGAAATTTCTCCGAGATTTAATTACAATGTGTATTTTTCTTATCTCTAATGTTGTAAATTGAGGGATTTTGGCACAAATTGCATTTTTTTCCCATTCCCACATATAGGAATTGAAGTCTAGAATTGTATAAAAAGAAAGTAACAGAGAGAAAAAGGTAGGGATACATACAGAAACATGGAGGAGTAGATGGATTTTGCCAAGTAGGTTGAAGGCGATTAGATGTCTGTTAGTTGATGGACGATGGGTCCTTGTGATGGAAATTTTAATCCTCACATAAAAAAACTTTTTTGGGAAAAAAAAAGTTAGAGGTGAAGAAGATGATGCAGAATGAAATTAAACAATCCCAACAATCCTTTATATGTTTATTGCCTTGATAGTAGCTATTCTTCCTTTAAGAATTGAGGGTATATCTGATGTTGATGTGCTGTGAGAAGCAGCATACTTGGGTACTTTTGAGAATTGAGAATGTGGTTTCATATTATGTTATATTAGGCAAATGTCATTCAATTCCATGTTTCAATGCCATTGACACCTTGTCCAATTCTCTGCCTATTTTTGCAGGGCCTTTTATTTTTCCTCTATCATCGTCAGACATGTGGAGATTCAAACAGTTCATGCCCAAAGAACAAAATGGGCTTGAAGGTCGCAGTATTGACATTGGCGATCTGAAAGTTCATGTTCGCAATGTCATTGCTGAGGGTGGATTCTCATGCGTTTACTTAGCTCGAGAAGCAATACATGGTTCAAAGCAATATGCTTTAAAGCACATCATATGTAATGATGAAGAATCTCTGGAACTGGTAATGAAAGAAATCAGGGTGATGAAATTGCTCAAGGGACACCCTAATGTTGTCACTCTTCATTCCCATACCATTTTTGATACGGGTCGTACAAAAGAAGCTCTTCTTGTTATGGAATACTGTGAAAAGTCTCTTGTTAGTGTGCTGGAGAGCAGAGGAGCTGGGTACTTTGAGGAGAAACAGATCCTTACAATCTTCAGAGATGTCTGCAATGCTGTCTTTGCTATGCACTGCCAGTCCCCACCCATTGCTCATCGGTAAAGACGAAAGAAATAAATATTTTTAATGTTTGTCAGTATGCTTTCTGTAAAGATTCGGATGGTGAAGCGAAGCCCCTCCTCAAAAGAGGGACAAGCAAGAATGGCTTAGATAACTTGTCTTGTAAACCATGCTTGCATTGGCAACAGTAGTACAGCTGGATTAATTTGGATCTTCCCTTTTCCTACCTTTCATGGTTTCACCTTATTTTTGCATTGAGAAACATGGGTCATCTTTTTTATCTGTGGAAGGGAATGCTGTGGGCGAATCATATGTTTCAATTTTTAAGTTGCCAGCAATCTACCTTTCCAAAGTTGCTCGGTTTACTTCTTATTTTCTCACCCACTAAAATATGTTATAAGACATCCTTTTTTTGTGAGAAATCTTTTATGATATTTTTCTGCTGCATGTTTCTGCATGTCATTCAATAGGGACTTGAAGGCTGAGAATCTTTTGCTGGGTTCCGATGGACTATGGAAGTTGTGTGATTTTGGTAGTACCTCCACCAATCACAAGCGCTTTGAGAAACCTGAAGAAATGGGCGTTGAGGAAGACAATATCAGGAAGCACACAACGCCTGCCTATAGAGCCCCTGAGGTTGAATGAAACATGTTCTTGATAAGTAAATGTGATCTTTGTTGGTATAAATTTTGATTTAGTTTTTCCTTTCTTGACTTAGATGTGGGATTTATTACGACGAGAACTTATAAACGAGAAGGTGGATATTTGGGTAAGTCAATCAGACGTCCTGTATCTGCATGATGGCTCTGGCAACAGTTTGAATTTTCCTGTAATCCTTTCAGCATTATGCTATTTGAAACATACTGAGACTAAATTTCATTATTCTGCAGGCCCTTGGTTGTCTTCTCTTTCGCATATGCTACTTCAAGTCTGCATTTGATGGTGAATCGAAGCTACAGATTTTAAATGGGAATTATCGCATTCCAGACATGCCAAAGTACAGCACATCAGTTACAGACCTCCTCAACGACATGCTTCAATCTTCACCGGATGCCAGGCCAGATATCACCCAGGCAAGCGTTTTGCTTGATAGGCCATTCATCTCCATGAACTTAGGTTAGTTGTAGATTATTTGTGGCCATGGCAATCATAGGTGCTGGCCTTGTCTTTATGCTTACTGATGTACTTGGTTAACTTCTTTGTGGCAGGCATGGTTTCGTGTTAATAATCTATTACCTGATGGTTTACAAAAGTCATTACCCGACAGGCCACCAGAAATGAAGCAACTGGGAACTGACATGCATGAAGGTAAGACATTATTCTTGCATTAGAGCTTTAGATGTTAGTATGTAGAATCAAATATATCTTACTGTCCATGTTTTGGTTGAAAACCAAGACAATGTTTCACTAGATAGATTGGAGAAATTTACGGTAAAAATCAGCCTATTGGTGGTTGGTTTAATTTTCTTGAATTTCGATATTAAGGGTTGAAATATTCAGAACTTAATTAAAACCTTACTTCAGTTCAGAAAATCTGATGCATGCTGCTGATTGGCAGGCATTCCAAAGCCTGCAAATAAGTCTAATTTGGTGCCTCGTAGAAGTCCGCCACCACCACCTTTAGCTGCAGAACCAGCTAGGAATGTATCACCACCATCACTCAGTTCTGGGGTAGGTGGAGGCGGAGGTCCTCTGGGTGCTTTCTGGAATACTCAGCATGCAAAGGATTCAGTTGTGGAGGACAACAGCAGGCTCAAATTTGATGATGAAGTGACCATCCATAGCTCCTCAAGACCAGATAGAAGTCGTACAGAGAGGCTTCCAGTTTCCCATAAAAATAGCCCTCCAATAGAGGAAAATCTCCAAGCTCGACCTATCTTAAGAAATGTGCATCGAAAATCTGTTAACCGGTCTGAGGATGGCCCTTCAAAAGACTTTGAAATCAAACTTTTTCAGGACGATTCAGACGACGGCTGTAGTGAAATATCAAAAGGATCAAAATCAGAGAATACACCTGGCTTCCAAAGTGAGGCTTTCAATGCTTTTGTCACTGAATTTGGTACCAATAAACTTAACCCTGGAAGTAGTAGTAAAAAATCAGGGAAGGAGGATCTGTTAGAGGCTGAGATAGAAAGGCTGAAAGAACAGCTGAAGCAAGCTAACATGGAGAAGGCTGAAATAACCTCCAAATATGACAAGCTATCTGCCATTTGCCGATCACAGCGGCAGGAGATACATGAGCTTAAGCAAACTCTTGGTGTTAGAAGAACCCCATCACCAAATAGAGATGCGTCCAAACATCAGACTTCTCCTGGAGTTCAACCACCAACTGCCCCACCGGTAGTTTTTCCTTAACATCTTGCAGTCGCTTTTTATTATATTCTTCTTGGTATCACATTTTGATAATCTGACCCTCCCATGCCCCGCGATGGTGGGAGCTTCGTGCACTGGGCTGCACTCTTCTTGTCATTGCACTTTATACGTAGTTTTATTCATTTTCGTTGCAGCAGAGGGAGAAAGAAAGAACAGTTTGGGACCTCCCACACGGACCATTAGAGAAGAGTTCCCCAAGTCCAGATCCTAAGTTGTGGCAGGCCTTTGCCGAAGATCCTAAGCCACAGACAACGCTTATGAATAACACTTCCAAATCTGTTAGAACAAGAAATGGTCACCAGCACAAACAGGCTGCTGAAGTTACCTCAGGTGCTAGCTCATGGGGTTTTGGAACAGACAATTTTATGGCAGTTCCCGTCGCAAACTCTGAGATAAACATTCCCTTTACTGAATTGAATAATTCTCAGCGCTTTGTTGAACCAAAGAGCGTTGAAAAAAAGTCAACCTCTCAACCTGCAGGATGGGCTGGTTTCTAATCTTTATGTTTTCTGCCATAGCCGAACTTTCAAGTTTGAAAGTGACCGCCACAGTGACTATCTTCTTTGTTTTGTGTGATTGAGAGGCTGAGGAAAGGAATGACAAAAATGAAAGAGGGAAACGAAAAAATGGTGCCACAGGTTTTTTTTGGTGTTGGTTGTGTATTGTGTAGATTTGGTTACAGAAAAGAACAAGAACATGGGACTTCCATGGCTTATTGCAGTCCCTATCCTTGGGTAAGATTATATTCAATATCCCATATATTCCATCATGTTACCACTTTGTTTTTATGGTTAGAACATTCTAATGGGTATCCTCGTAATGATTCTGTCAATGTTTTATGATAAGAGTATGGGTAGACGTGTTTCTGGAAGTTTGAGCAAATGGGAATATGATATTCGAATTGGAAGACATTGTGATGGCACAGCCTTAAAATTAGCAGCCTGTGAGCGACCTGATTCTTGTGCTCATCAGTTGTCATTGTTAAGTCAATGGATGGGGTGTGATATACATATTATTTTTGATTGATTATTAGAATTCAAATTCAAATCCGTTATATGATATTCCATGACTTTGAATTTGGATATACCGATCAAGGATAAAAATTTTGTTTCGGTGTATCATTCGAATCACCTTGAAAATAGAAATATTTTGACTCGTTTTGAAAAATTTTCAACTTGTTTTGAAAACAAAATAAAAATCAATAAAATTTTGAGAATAATTTTTTCAAAATATTTGTTGAAATATACCAAAGAATTTTAAAACGCCTTGAAACATTGTGAAAAATTGTCAATGTGATAACATATTACGAAACATCTCGAAATATTATGTAATACGTCAAAGTATTAGAATTTTGATTTTATCACTAATTTATTTTTAATTTTTTTAGAAATTAAAACGTTTCGACTATTTTGAAATAAAATGTTAATCCTGCATATACTGATCCCAATTAAATATTCATATAGATGTATAGGGTGAAACTGGACGATTGTATGGTGAAACTAAATTCAGGTCTTATTACTCATTCGGATCGAAATGGACTTTTAATTTTTTAGCAGATTGGATAGACCATGAAAATATCTTCCATTTTTTAAGCGGATTAGATATAGAACATGAAATTGAAATAAATTCGATAATGGGTCGGATCTAAATTTGGATCAAGGAAAATACAATCCGAATCTAATCCGGCAAAATGTAATTGCTTACTAAGCACTTCCACTCGTTACTAGAGAAAATATTCAATGCAACAGTAATACAATATCAAATTAATAATTATCACAACAACTTACTCCCTTTACATGTACGTTAATAAGTTCTTTGCACATAGCTGTATAGTGCTGAAAGGCAATACTGCGTAGTGAATATATAGAAGGACCTATATGTATATCTATTTTCAGCACCAAAAAAAAAAATGGGAGGGGGGAATCAGCCTAGGCAGGAATCATAAAGTCAGCAGTTTATTTGATGCAATTCCCTTTGCATACAGAGATTTGTAGTCAATGAAACACCAGACGGTCAAATTACCTGAAAAAAACAAAGTATTATAGACGAATTCAAATTCAACAAAAAAGAAAAAAAACTTTCCCTTTTGTGCTACGCGCTTTTTGGAAGATTAATACTATTTTGACTTAAAAATTTGACATAATTTGTTGACATAATGATGTGACTTAATAGAAATAATTAGATCAATACCAAATTTTAATGTTTAATGAGATCTACAGTAAATCTAAATGTTATAGTGAATTAGGTCTACAGTATTTTTTATATATTTATATTACTTTTGAAGTGATGTTTATCAATTTTTGCGGTGCACGCAGCTCAATTATGTTTTGCGACAATTTAGTCTCTAAATTATATAATCTTATTTAATTGGAGTAGAATATAGTTCAATGGGAAATGTAACCTGTACTTAGAATTTATAAATGTTAGCAGAAGACTTTGACACATTCAAAGTAAACCCTTCCGACTGACCAACATATCACCACATCACCTCAAAACCCAGAGAATTTGGTGATTGGAGCAATGAAATAAATACAAGTGTCGTAGAATAGTCAACAAGTCATAGATGTCTAAATAAAATATTGGAGATTAACATGTACAACGACAAGGTTTGATGAGAAACTTCCTTTACTTTATACAAGAAAAGTCGTAATACGCTTTTAGTTGAAAAGTAAAACCTGCCAAATTAACCAACCAATTTCGAGCTCTATTTATTTTCCACCTTCAAGCACAGATTGACCATCAATGGCTTCTTCATCTCTTTCCCATCTTCGCTCTCTTCTGCTGCTTCTTCTTCTTCTTCATGTCCTTCCAGCAGTGTTAGCAATCAGTACATCTGATTGTAACATTACACTGGGCTCATCTCTATCAGCAGGAGACAACAATCCTCTTGGGCAATCTCCATCAGGTGAATTTGCCTTTGGATTTCTTCGTCTTGGAGGACCACAAGCTGATGAAGATCTCTTCCTTCTAGCCATCTGGTTGGCTAAAATACCTGAGCTGACTGTAGTTTGGTCGAGGAATGAAAATCCAGTGCCCCGAAAATCAAAAATCACGCTAACCAATGGTGGGGAGCTTATACTGTATGATAGCAAAAACACAGAGCTTTGGAAGGCTTCTTCAAGTTCAACCAATAATAACAAACCCACTTGTGCTGCTATGCTTGACTCAGGTATGTATATGTAGATGTACAATTAAGTATAAATCATTAAAAAAAAAAAATGTATGATTTTATATGTTGTGTGGATGTGCATTTTAGAATCAAACCATGTTGTATAAGGCTCTATTTAGTAATGTAATCAGAACTAGATCAGTAATTTAATCTTTGAGTTAACCGGTTGAATCCGTCATATAATAAAAAATAAAAAATATATATATAAATTATAAAACATAATATTTTAACTAAAACATATGAAACATAATAATATATAATTGCCCAAATAAAATTACTTTAAATGCATTTTCTAAGGAATTCAAACATGCAAAAACAAAAGAGAGTGAGAGAATCATCTTTGTTTGTGTGTGAGAGAGAGAAAAAAAAAAAAGGGGGGGGGGGGGGGGTTTACAATTACAGGCACTCAGGCAACAAAGGAGAAGCGAGGAGGAGACTCAAAAGTTAGATTGCTAAGTGAGAGAAGACTCAGTCAGATCGACTGCTTGATCTAGAACAGAGGAGGAGCTGGTCTAGTCGCCTGAGTTTCGTTGTTAGTCGTCGTCTGGGAGTGAAGATTGAAGGAAGAAGCTGGAATGAAATTCCAGGTTTAGGGCAAAATTGCCAAAAAAAGAGGATTTTTGTTTAATATTATTTAAAATCCAATCGATCGATTTATCGGTTTGATAAAAAAGTCGACCAGTTTAGAGGTTTTTTTCCGGTTCAACTGCTTGTACGGTTCAATTCAAGAATCGGACTAGCTTAGATTCCAGTTCACAATTGGACCGGTCTGATCCGGTTCTAATAACACTGTTCTTTAGTTTGCGTCTAAAAAAATAGTATTAAAAAATTAATTTTAGAAAAAATTTTAGGAAAGTATGTTTTGATATTTTTTTTTGTCACAAAATTTATTTAGTTATAAAATTTGAAAAATAATTCTACAAAATAGAAAAACAGTAAAATTTGTTTAAACAGTAGCTTATAAATTAATGAAAACAGAAAAGTGGTGGTGGATGGGGTGGTGAAAGTACGGCAGTGCAGTGGAAGTGTGGTGTTTGCTAAATTTAAAAAACAAAAATAAAAAATGACTAGCCAAACAACTTTTCTCCCCGAAATTATTTCTAAAAACTTTTTTTTGAAATATAAATCAAATATGACCTTTTATTTTTGATTTTCTATTTTTCATTCTCTTAGTTAAACTTCATCATGGTATCAAAGTAAGCCGACCAAACTTTGCTAGATCATACAAATATAGAAATGAGTTATGTGCAATCAAGCACGAATAATGAAATCTAGCCTTTCCATGTTCGGTGTGTTGTGAATATAGGTCTTAAAAACTAACCATAAGGAACTAGGGTGGCCCGGAACATGCCCACCATCATTTCTTAACAATATTGATATAAATATGCTTTTTTAATATTTTATATTATGCCTACGTATGTGTACCATATATTTTATTATTATAACAATTATTATAGACCCTTATCTATATTACCAATGCACTTCGTGCGTTGCACATGAATATTTTTTATATAAAAAATATTAATAAAAAGTATTAGGTGCATGCATACCTATATTATTTCAAGTTTATCAAAATTATATTTGTATCGGTCGTATTATACTATCGAATTTAAAAAATATTGTTTGTTTCCAGCGATTCGTTACTATAACTATAAGAAAAATTTTAAATGAAAAAAAAAATACACAATGTTATTTTATATTTGAAATGAGTAATATTAGATTTATGAAGTATTTGAAAACTTTTTGAACATTTTATTAAAAATTATAGTGATGCATATATTTTTTAAGTGTAACGTAGTCAACAAAAAAATTTCAGAGATACTAATAATTATACAAAATGAATAGAAAATTAAAAGAGATTAGGGGTAGTTTGAAGATTTAAACACATAAATATATGAGGGTAATTTAGATATTTAATTACAGAAAAATAGTGTAGTATTTAAAATTTTTTATATGAGTAAAATAGCGAATTAAAAGTTTTTTATGATAAGGTACTTTTATCAATATTATAAATAAATGAAAACACACACACACACACACATATAGATATATATAAAGATATGATTATAATTTAGATATTTAACTATAAAAAGATAGTGTAGTATTTAAAATTCTTTATAAGGGTAAAAAAGTGAATCAAAATTTTTTCACCAATATATATATCTATATTATAAAATAGCTTACAATTCAAATCTTAATATATAAACAAAATAACTTTTGCTATTCGCGGTTAAGATCGTTTTAAATTTTATTGTAAAGTTAATCTAACGGATACCATTAACACCCTAATTTAATAGAAAAAATAGGTCCTTAAGGGTGTGTTTGGAGTGACTTTTTAAAATAACTTCTACAAATTATTTCTCATAAGCATTTTAAAAAAAATTCGTGTTTGAAACCGCCTCACTATTACCTCTACCACTACCACTACCACCACTGCCACTGTCACTGCCCATCGCCACTGTCGTCATTGTCGTCGCCACCACCATCGCCATCATCACCATCGCCACCGCCCCCATCATCGCCGTCGTCGTCGCCAGCGCCGCCGCCAGCGTCGCCGCCGCCTCCACTACGGTCATTGTCACTCAGCACAATCGTCACTTTCTCCTACCATCACTACTGTTACCCACCACCTCTTACCCCCACTACAATCGATACTTAAATTCATTTATCTCTCATCTATATTTGTAATTTGATTTTAGATATGAATACAAATATATTTATTATTTACCATTTTTTATTTCTCTGTGCCTTCAGTATATATATATTAACTTTTTGGCACAATTCGGATGAGTCGGGGCAATGAACATATTGGTTGGTTATAGTGCTCACCCAAGAGCGAAATGCTGGCTTAGTTACTGACTATCTATCTTCTATTTTCTCTTTCAATCCATTCTTATATCAAATTTATGGCAGGAAACTATGTGCAGTTTTGTGTGTGATGGATGTAGGTCTTTCACTCATTCATTGTCTTGTTTATATAATATTTATGGCAGGCAACTTTGTGCTTATAAACGAGGATTCTACTCCAGCGTGGGAGAGCTTCAATGAGCCTACTGACACAATCTTGCCAGGCCAGACATTAAAAATAGACAACCCCTCAAATCTCGCCAATCAGACACAAATTACACCAACGGGCGGTTCCAGCTCCATATGCAGGGTGATGGCAATCTTGTGCTTTACACTGTCTCTCTCCCAACAGAAGTCATCTATGGTGCTTATTGGGCTACTGGATATGTGAAACCCGTATCTGAATTCCAATTGATCTTTAATCAGGATGGATACATTTATATTGAACAACGGAATCAAAATGTATTCAATCTCACACAAAAAGGTGGGGGTTCGAGCCGTGATAATTATCTGATAGCCAGGATTGATTATGATGGTGCATTTAGACTATATAAGCATCCAAGAAATAGCTACACCACGGGCTTTGGAAGCTGCAGTTCATCCTGGTCTGTCATTGAAACGTTTCCACAAGACGTGTGCATGATCACGGGAACTCTAGGCAGTGGGGTTTGTGGATTCAATAGTTATTGTGTCAGTAATAATGGGAGGACAAATTGTTCGTGCCCTGAAGGGTACTCTTTCGTGGATCCATTTAACCTTCTGATGGGCTGCAAACCAAATTTTCAACTGCCTAGCTGTCAAAAAGATGGATGGGAAACAAAGTTTGATCGTATAGAATTCAAAGAATTGAATAACACAGATTGGCCCTTGGCAGATTATGAACTTCAGACCGGGGTAGAAGTTGATAAGGAGACATGTAAACGGTATTGCCTCATTGATTGTTTCTGTGCAGCTGTGATCCATAATGGGAATAATTGTTGGAAGAAAAAATATCCCCTTTCCAATGGAAGACAATCTTCAGGTGTTAATAGAACTGCTCTGATCAAGGTACCCATAGGAGATGCAAATCAATGGCAATATAAAAAAGACAAGTCCACATTGATCCTTGTCGGGTCACTCCTACTTGGCAGCTCTGTATTTCTTAATTTCCTTCTGTTGTTAGCTGTATCAGTGGCGGTTTTCATCTCGTATCATAAGAAAATGCAGGATTTGCAGTCTGGTATGAACACGTTTGGGATGAATGTAAGAAGGTACACATACAAAGAGCTTGAAGGGGCAACTGGTGGGTTCAACTCCAAGCAACAACTGGGGAAAGGTGGTTTTGGAACGGTTTACAAAGGTGTTTTGCCATCAGATCCAACGAGGTTTGTAGCTGTGAAGAAATTGGATAAGATAGCACAAGAAGGCGAGAAGGAATTCAGAACAGAAGTAAATGTAATTGGTAAAACTCACCACAAGAATTTAGTCCGTTTGCTTGGTTACTGCGATGAGGGGGAGAACCGTCTCTTAGTATACGAGTACATGAACAATGGATCCTTAGCAAGCCTTCTGTTTGGGATCTCCAGGCCAGATTGGAACCACAGAGTTCAAATTGCATTCGGAGTTGCAAGAGGGCTAATGTACTTACACGAAGAGTGCAGCACACAGATCATCCATTGTGATATAAAGCCTCAGAACATACTCTTAGATGACAACTTTACTCCTAGAATTTCAGATTTTGGACTAGCAAAGCTCTTGTTGGTTGAGCAAAGTCGAGCTGCACGGACGGCCATAAGAGGGACAATCGGTTACTTTGCACCCGAATGGTTTACAAAAGTGTCTATCACAGTTAAAGTTGATGTTTATAGTTTCGGGGCAATGTTACTAGAGATCATTTGTTGCAAGTCAAGCGTTCAATTTGCAATGGGGCAAGAAGAGGAAGCACTAGTAGATTGGGCCTATGATTGCTACTACAAAAAGAAGCTCGATAAGTTGGTTGAAAACGATGAAGAAGCAAGGAATGACATGAAGAGGCTAGAGAGGCTGGTGACGGTGGCAATTTGGTGCATTCAAGAGGATCCTTCACTAAGGCCCTCAATGAGAAAGGTTACACAAATGCTTGAGGGAGTTGTTGAAGTTTCTATTCCTCCACGTCCCTCTGGTTTAGTTCTTCTTGAACTATTAGCCTTTCATTTTATCAGACCATTTGTGTAAACATAGGCAACTTTTATGGTTCCCCATTTAAGAATGGATTCTTGAAAGCTTTTCTTTTATTTATACATGTAAGTTTTATTGAAGAAATCCTTTGTGAATTTTCAAATAATGTCAGAAGAGTTCTGTGTGTGTGTGTGTGTGTGACTATCGATTTTTCCTTTTCTTTTTCCTAATCAGGCAAATTAACTATTCAATGAAGCCATTAGCAGTTTGATTACAATCAAGATAGAAGTATATATCTGTAAGCTGTATTGTAGAATCTACTATCCGAACAAAATTCTAATGAATTGTGTGCGTGTGTAACCATCTGTTATTTTTTGAACTATGGTTACAATCAAGCCAAAAGAATGATCTCTAATTCATGGGGTCGACAGCAAAGGAAATTCATAGATGAGTACGGATCGATGGCTCAATAAGCAGCCTCATTGGAGGACCTATGCCTGTACTTAAACTATTCTACATCTTATTATAGCTTCATTGATTACCTCAATCTTTCTTTGAGGGACTCCTCCTGGAGCCTAAGGATCGTAAACAAGGTAACCGTTATAAGCAGAAGTATTGTGTATTGAGTATGACTTTGACAAACTGTCCGTAAATGATTTCAAATAGTAGTGAAGTTTCACATATCGGAGACAAACTCTTTGGGAAATTTTACATCCAGACCCTTAGAAAAGTTTGCCACTTACACTATTACGTACAGACCTTTTATATTTGGTACGCGCATGGGTTTCGGCCGTTAATGTCTGTTACTAACTGTTAATTAAATTACATTTAGATCTCCAAAATTTGAAGTATATAATACTTAGATTCTCAAGTTTAAAATATTACATTTAAATAAAAAATACTCCAATTAAATATAGAATATCAAATATTTTAAATTTTATAAACAAAATTCTTGTTTTAATATGTTATTTATTGAAATAAAATTTAATTTTTTAAACTTAATAGGTTTATGTGTTATACACCTATAAATTTTAGGAGGATCTGAGTGTAATTTATTAATAGATATATTAACTGAAATTGACGATAGGGTTTAAGTGTCACACGTGTACAAACTTTAGAGGGTTTGTATATAAAATTTCAAATATTATAGGATTTTAAGTGATTAAGTGATAAACTTAAAGTGTCAAAGTGTAATTTCCCCAAACTATTTTTGTCCAGGACCGAGAGAAGTTTGCACTGAAATCTTTGGGTAAATCTGACAAAGACCCTGAACTATGATATTTATTTTAAATTTTCCCCTAAATTTATAATTATCTCAATTTATCCTCTAAATTATATAATTTTGACCAGTAATTTATTCTCTAAATTACATAATTTATTATAATCAATCCATTCTTGTACATAGAAAATGGGCTCAATTTTTTTATTCATATTTGTAAGTCATCTAGTTTAATTCATCAGCCTGAATGATGAACAAAAAAAAATGAAAATAGATATTCAATCTATTTAACTAGCATTTATACTGTAAATTTGATTTTTAGTGAAATAAAAAACACATATATAATATAATTATAATCGTAGAATACGATCCTAATTAAAATATATATATTTGTCACATACAGTAAATGGCGACGGCAAAGTCTTATCAAGTTCTTTCTATTAATAAAAGGAACTAATACTCAAACAAGAGGGATGTCAACGATGGTGGATAGGAACCTACGGATTTAAGATTAAGTGATTCAACATTTCTATGATATTTTTAATTTAAGAGCATATATAAACTTATATTTTTTTTCGATGGTTTTAATTGTAATTACAATTCATTTGATAACTTAATTTGTTTTTTATGAAAACGTAAAACTATTAAATTATTTATGTATGAATCCTATTTATATAGTCTCATAACGAATTGTTTATGATTAACCAAATTATTGATAAAAATAATATCCAAATACCAAATCTATCTATGTTTTTCGTTATTGTGGTCAGCGGTATTCGAATTTGCTTACGCATACTTTGATTAATTTTTTCTCTGGTTCGGTTAAGTGCAGGTTATCTACGTTCGAAATTAGAGAATTCATGAGAGATAAATTCATTAAGGGAGTTATCAAGTTTCGACTGCAGAACGTCTACATTTATAACTTGTCTTTATCCACTAGATTACCCTTTGGAGTTGCATTTGCCTTCTGCATAACCGCAATTAGTTAATTTTTAATTTTCAGTAACCCAATTTAAAATCATAAGTGGATAAATAAAAATTTTGAGAAAGTCTTTCATTTGTCTATCATTATAGATCATCCATATTATCTATGCAATATGATTAATCTTAATGAAATCTTTCTTATTTATCAATTAATCTTAACGACAGAAATCGATTGAAATAAATTACATAATTTAGAGGATATATTAAAATAATTAAAAATTTAAGAAGTAATTTAAAACAAATGTGATAGTTCATGAGTTATTTATGAACTTTATCCATATCATTTTGTTTGGATCCAATAGTTTATCTTATAATTTATATTTTAATTTTTTAACTACAATAATTTTTTTTTGTTTAAATCTAATTTGTTAACCACTATAAATATTTTAAAACCAAAAAAGTTCTTTCTTCTTCTAAGTTTTCAATCTTTTCATTTGTAGACCCTTATTCCCCTAATTATTTCCATTATATTAATGAATAATCTATAAATAATTCATAAATCTATATTGATTAGTTGTTCTCAAAAAACCACAATGAACGGTTTAGTCACTCAAGTTTTAAACACCCTAAAAAAGGTATTTTAAGTCGGTTCATCCTAGTTCAAGATAGTGTTGTTGGAGTATAGATAGTCTAGGTTTATTAGGATTTCTTTTCTCTTTTTTACCCTTACTATGATTTTTATATTTTGCCTAAACTACAAGGATGTTTAAGTCACTCTGTATTATTTTTGGCTATATATACGGGACTCTACTTTGAGTTTGAGTATCCCTTTCACATATTTCAAGTTGGTATCAGAGTCAAAACCCTAGCCTCCATCTCTAAGCCTAACCCTAACCTTAACCCTAGCCTTCATCACCTTCCCAGCAGCCACCATTCCACTGCTCAAACAATCTGCAACAGCCCCCAGCCCCTCAGCCACACCTAGCAACCCAGTGACAGCCTGCCCAACCTCCAGCGCCACACCCAGGCCACCAGAACCAGCGACTCCATACCAGCGAACCAAAACCAGCGAAATAGAAAAACGCTGAACCAAACCTGCTGCCCAGCCCCTAGCCGCAACACTGCACCGACTGCCTCCATAAAGCACCGACTGCCTACACAGCAAAACCAGCAACCACAAACCAACTGACCAGCCTGTCTACACCGACTGCCTCTATCAAACCAACCCACAATCAAACCCAAAAACCAATACAGCTAAGCACCGTGACAGCCAACAAACCCACAAACCAATATTATTAGCCGTCACAAACCAACAAACTAAGTAAGATTGGGTCACTGTTCATCAGCCCACTGCTGGGTTGCTTTTTTGTTGTAGCTTGGTCCTTCGCACACTTCGTCATAGTGCTGCCAGATTGCAGTATCTAGGCCTTTTTTTTAGGAGGGAGCGGATCCTCTTCTCCTTTTATCTGTTTTTGATGCGGTAGATCATTTATATTTATTGGATTTCTGGGCACCGTGACTTGATTATTTGGGAGCTTTTTGGACCTTCCTTATTTGTCGCTACTGTTCGACTGGAGGTATATTGTTCTCCCTTATTTTATTCCTCTATTTATCTTAGAGTTATTTTTCTGTCACGGGTGCCCTAGTATTGTTGTTGATATGGCTACTACTGAGGGACTTGAGAACCCTACTGTTGACACCTCTACCGTTGAGACATCTATGGGTACTTCCACTTTTATGTTTGACCAGTATACGGTGCCTACTAGCACAGTTGCATTACCAGCATTACCGGGCATGATCTCTCAAAAAGTTACGGCACAATTGTTGAATAGTCGTAACTTCGCTGAGTGGTCACGCTCATTCCAGCTTTTCTTAGGCCGTGTAGGGAAGCTTGGTTGGCTGACTGGATCTCACCCAAAGCCAGCGGATGCCGACCCTGGATATTCTGCGTGGTTCTCTAAAACTGTGCCATTCTTGGATGGTTATTTGGCTCAATGGAGCCCTCTGTTTGCAGGATCCACCAGTTTCATAGCTCTGTCCGAAGCTATGGAGCGCATTATCAGAGATGTATTCTTAGTCAGGACGGGGAGTTCGTGTTTATGAGCTTTCTCAGGAGCTCTCATATGCTCGGCAGGGAGATATGACCGTTCAGGATTATTATGGCTATTTGACCCAGCGCTGGCTTGAGTATGAGTCTCTACGTCCTCTTGCTGCTATTCCGAAGATAGAGCCCGAGGGAGCAGCATTCTTGCATACTCGAGAGCAGGAGGATAGAATTCACAAGTTCCTTATGGGCTTCGTGATGAGTTTGAGGGACCTCGTTCTCAGATCTTGTCGATGTTGACACTTCCTTCTCTTTATGAGGTGTATGAGATGATTGAGCAGCATGAGCGTCGAGTCCGTATTGCATCACTTCCAGTTGCAGCTTTGACTCCTTCGATTGACCAGATGACCCTTGCAGCTGCTGTAGGGTCCCGTTCAGGATCCTTAGTCAGGGATGGGCAACGCTCAGACCAGCGCCGTCAGGGCGCCCCAGATCAGCGCAGACGGGGGGATTCCCGTCAATGTGATTATTGTGGCCGACCAGGACATCTCAGGGCTACTTGCTGGAAGCTCCATCCAGAGCTTAAGCCACCTTCTCGCAGCCGTACTGTTGCTATTGCTGAGGTACCACCGCCCACTACCGCCACTCCTGCTACTGCTCCTCCTTGGCAAAGTGATATGGATGCTATCACTTCCCGATTAGATATACTTATGTCTGCTCTGACTTCTCAGAGTTTGACTACTGCTGCTGTCATCACTACAGGTATATCTCGTGCCTTTCACGCTTGTGCCAGTTCATCTCCCCTTTGGATGTTGGACTCGGGTGCGAATGGTCACATGACAGGTGAGGCCCATCACTTCACCACTTTTGACGAGCCGTTACATACACAGGTTCAGTTAGCAGATGAAACACATGCCCCTATTGTTAGTAGGGTACAGTCCGTCTCCCAGATGGCCTTACATTACATTCGGTTTTTCATGCGCCAAAGTTGGCCATGAATCTATTATCTGTACATCAGTTAGCCAGAAATTTTCACTGTGCGGTTGTATTCTTATCTGATTCGTGTTATTTGCAGGACCTGAGTACCAGGAGGATTATTATCAAGGGACATGAGAAAGATGGACTGTATTATCTTGGCAATCCATCTCCAGTTTCACCAATTCCTTCACCTGCACCTGTTTTGTCTTTTTCTGTTCCTAGCTTGCATGCTAGTATTTTACCTAGTAGTTGTCGTTATGATTTTTCGTCACAAACTGTTCAATTGTGGCATGACCGTTTTGGACATACAAATTTTAAATATTTATGTATGTTGTTTCCTGCTTTGAGTAATGCTTGTGTTGGTGGTAAACTTGATTGCGTTATCTGTTCCCTATCAAAACATGTTAGGGCCAATTATATTCCTCGCATGCACCAGTCACCCAAGCCATTTGACCTAATACACTCTGATATTTGGGGACCCTCTCCCGTTACTGCTCTGTCAGGTGCCAGATATTATGTGACATTTATAGATGATCATATCCGTTGTACTTGGGTCTACCTTTTGCATAGGAAGTCTGATGTGCTCCCTATAATCACTCAGTTTTTACAGATGATTAAGACACAATTCGATGTCATTGTTCGTGCTCTTCGTTCGGATAATGCCAAAGAATATGTGTCTGATGCTTTAGTGTCTCACCTTTCTTCTCAGGGTATCCTTCAGCAACTCACTTGTCCATATACTCCTGAGCAAAATGGTGTTGCTGAGAGGAAAAATAGGAGTTTGATAGGGATGGTACGTTGTCTGCTTAGAGGCATGAGAGTACCAAAATCTTATTGGCATTTTGCTGTTTTGACTTCTACCTTTCTGTGCAATCGTACGTCGAGTCGTGTTCTTCAGCATAAGGCTCCCTTACAGGTCTTATTTCCTGAGCGGACACTTTTTTCGGTCCCCCCTCGTGTTTTTGGATGCACATGTTTTGTTCAGGATCGGTCTCCTACTCGTCATAAACTTGATGATAAAGCGATTCGTTGTATCTTTGTGGGCTATTGTCATCAATCTAAGGGGTATCGATGTTATGATCCTATTAGGCGTCGTATGTATCACAGTCTAGATGTTACCTTTCTTGAGCATATTCCTTATTTTTCTTTCAGTCCTTTGTCTGCTCCTCCAGTTGATGATACTCCCTTTGATTTTCCATTACCACAAGAGTCAGAGTCATTGATCACTACCCCTACAGGGTCATCCGTTTTTCCTCCAAAGGAGTCCCTCTTCCCTGTCAGTACAGAGTTACCAGTCTCTCTTCCTTTGCAGGTGTATGCTCGTTGTCCTCGCTCTCATCACCCTGCTGATATCCCCTCTACCTCAGGCGATGCAGGTAATACTTCTCAATTTGTTGAGCATATTGATGCACCTGTTGTTAGTACTGATGAGATTACAGGTGCTGAGCCAGTTACTTTACCTGATAAGATATTATCAGTAGAGGATGGTGATTTAGGGCGTCGTTATCCAAGGCGTGATCGCCGTCCAGTTGATCGATATGGTTGGACCGCCAAGATTTTATATCCGATCTCTGCTTATGTTTCTTATGGTAATCTGTCTCCCACATTTCGAGCTTATACTATGGCCTTATCAGATACGCTGGTTCCTCGCTCTATTTCGGAAGCTATGCGGGAGCCCTAGTGGGTTCTTGCCATGCAGACAGAGATGGACGCTCTTCAGCGTAATCATACATGGGATCTTGTCTCCTTACCTTCAGGGGTGAAGCCTGTTGGCTGTCGCTGGGTTTACACCCTGAAGTTTCTTGCGGATGGTACTATTGATCGTTACAAGGCTAGACTTGTGGCGAAGGGCTTTACTCAGGTACCAGGTCGTGATTTTGGTGCTACATTTGCCCCTGTGGCAAAATTGACTACTATTCGGTTAATTATTTCTCTGGCTGCGGAGTACTCTTGGCCTCTTCATCAATTAGATGTGAAGAATGTGTTTCTTCACGGTGATCTGGACGAGATTATTTATATGGATGCACCACCGGGCTTTCGTGGTGAGGGGGAGTATGCTGGAAAGGTATGTCGACTGCGTAAGTCTCTTTATGGACTGAAACAGTCGCCACGAGCCTGGTTCTCTCGTTTCAGTGATGTAGTCATACGATTGGGGTTCACCAGGTGTCATTCTGATCATACCTGCTTTATTCGACGGAATACTTCTGGACAGTGTGTCATCCTTCTGGTATATGTTGATGATATTATTATTACTGGTGATGATGTTTTTGGGACTGCGCAGGTCAAGATAGACCTTGGGAAGGCCTTCGATGTGAAGGATCTTGGATTTCTGCGATACTTTCTTGGGATTGAGGTTGCCCGTAGAAGCAGAGGTATTGTTCTTTCTCAGAGAAAGTATGTTTTGGATCTTCTTTCAGACACTGGGATGTTGGGGTGCAAACCGGCATCATCACCTATGATTCCAAACCTGAAGCTTACTGCTGAAGGTGAGGAGTTGAAAGATCCGACAGTTTATCAAAGATTGGTAGGTAGACTTATCTACTTAGCCAATACTAGGCCGGACATTTCATTCGCAGTCAGCCGAGTTAGTCAGTTCATGCATAGGTCATGTCAGCCTCATCTTGATGCAGTTTATCATATTCTTCGGTACCTCAAGTCTTGTCCTGGACTTGGGTTGTTTTATGCATCAGGATCTCAGACCGGTTCTCTAGCCTGTTATTCAGATTCAGATTATGGGGGAGCATGTGATGGTCGATCTACTACGGGTTTCTGTGCTTTTCGAGGGACTCATCTTATCTCTTGGAAGAGCAAGAAGCAGGCAGTTGTCTCCCGCACGTCCGCAGAGGCAGAGTATCGGGCATTGGCACTTGGCACATGTGAGATTATCTGGCTACGATCGATTCTTGACGAGTTGGGTTTTTCAGTGACCTCTCCATCCACATTATATTGTGATAATTAATCTGCTATTCAGCTCACTTCTGACTCTGTACTACATGAGAGAACGAAGCATATAGAGATTGATGTTCACTTTCTTCGGGAGAAGGTCAGCAGTGGTCTTGTTACTCCATCGTTTGTGGGGACCAGTGATCAAGTTGCGGATGTTTTTACCAAACCTGTCACTCTGTCTATTCTTCGGGACTCCGTTGTCAAGCTTGGCTTAGTTGACATTTTTGCGCCTAGCTTGAGAGGGAGTGTTGGAGTATAGATAGTCTAGGTTTATTAGGATTTCTTTTCTCTTTTTTACCCTTACTATGATTTTTATATTTTGCCTAAACTACAAGGATGTTTAAGTCACTTTGTATTATTTTTGGCTATATATACGGGACTCTACTTTGAGTTTGAGTATCCCTTTCACATATTTCAAGTAGTGTAAAGTTGGACTTGACTATGGTATCAACAAAACTTTTGGTATTGTACCACTTACTATTTTTTGTACATTTATACTAATTTTAAGGTGATGTTTATCAATTTTTGCGGTGCACTCACCTGAATTATGTTTTGTGACAATTTAGTCACTAAATTATGTAATCTAATTTAATAGGGTCTTTCCGTCCAAATGCGCTATTAACTTTAATGAAAATTTTTACTTGTGCATCACGTGAGTCTGAGATTAGAACATAGTTGAATGACAAAAGGATGTTACCAGTATTTAGAAATTTATAAATGTTACCAGAAGACTTTTGACACATTCAAAGTAAATCCTTCCAAGTGACCAACATATCACCTCATCAGAATAATCAACAAGTCATAGATGAAGATGAACCAGATGGTCAAGTAATTGTCATTGTGATTGCTATGGTTATTATGATTATTCAATGACCCAAAAATCTCAAAAGCATTTTAATCACAGCGTTTTTTATATTCAGATATAAGAAGTCACTCGTTTATCACCTCCATCGGCCTAACTTGGATTTCATGTATGTGAAAATGTAATTCAAGTGTTCCTCTTTGCACAAGCATAGAACCACATGCATCCTTTAAACTTCGGCTTTTAGTTTGGGGGAAGTAGTCCAAGTTATGCTCTTTCCTCAACTACTGGAAAAAAAAAAAAATAAGGGCTGATTTTCAAACTTTTTTCGTGGAGGACAGAGAGAAGTTTGCACAAAGTGAAATCATTTGGTAAATCTTATAAATACCCTGAACTATGACATTTATTTTAAATTGTCCCCTAAATTTATAATTATCTCAATTTATCCTCTAAATTATATAATTTTGACCCATAATTTATTATAATCAATCCATTATTGTACATAGAAAATGGACTCCATTTTTTTACTCAAATTTATAAGTCATCTGGTTTAATTCATCACCCTGAATAAAAAAATGAAAATAGATATTCAATCTATTTAACTAGTATTTATACAATTAATTTGATTTTCGACAGAACGAAAAATATGTATATAATATAATCATAATCATAGAATACGACCCTAATTAAAATACATATATTTATCTCATACACTATAAGAGGAGGATGAAGTTTTATCAAGTTTTTTCTATTAATAAAAGGAACTAGTACTCGAACAAGAGGGGTGTCACCGATGGTGGCTAGGAACCTAGGGATTTAAGATTAAGAGATTCAACATTTTCATGATATTCTTAACTTTAGAGCATATATTAACTCATTTTTTTCCTATGATTTTTAACTATAATTACAATTCATTTGATAACCTCATTTTTTTTTATGAAAATTTAAAACTATTGAATTATATTTATACAATCTCATAACGAATTATTTATAATTAGCCAAGTCATTGATACAAATAATATCCAAATATCAAATCTACCTTCTTTTTTCGTTATTGTGGTCAAGAGTATTCAAATTAATTTACATTCATCTTGATTAATTCTCTCTCTAATCAGGCCAAATGCAGTTATCCAAGACAAATTACACGAATGGACGGTTCCAGCTCCATATGCAGGGTGATGACAATGTTGTGCTATACATTGTATCTGTGCTAACTGAAATCCTTTATTGTGCTTATTGGTATAGTGGAACTGTGCATCCTAATTCCACCTCCCGGTTGACCTTCGATGTAGCTGGCTACATTTATGTAGAAGAAGGGACCCCAAAAGTATACAACCTTACACGAAAAGGCTCCGGTTTGAACCAAGATTTCTATCTCATGGCTAGGATTGATTATGATGGAGTATTCACGCAATATAGTCATCCAAGAAACAACTGCACCACAAGTGTCAGAAGTTGCACTTCTTCCTGGTCTGTTGTTCACACAATTCCACCGGACATGTGCACATTGGTGGGGTATTTCGGCAGTGGGGCTCGTGGATACAATAGTTATTGTGTCATCAATAAGGATGGGAAGCCGCATTGTTTGTGCCCGGAAGGGTACTCTATGTTGGATCCACTTGACCCGCAGAAAGGCTGCAAGCCCAATTTTCAATTTCCTAGCTGCCAACTAGATGGAGGGGAACCAAAGATTGACCTCATAGATTTCACAGAACAAAATAACACAGACTGGTTCTTATCAGATTATGACCTTCAGATTGAAGCTGAGGTAGACAAAGAGACATGTAAACAGTATTGCCTCCGTGATTGTTTCTGTGCAGCTGTGGTCTACAATGGGAATAATTGTTGGAAGAAAAAGTTTCCTCTTTCCCATGGAAGACAATCCGTAAGTTTAGATAGAACTACTCTTATCAAGGTACCTCTCAGAAATGCTGCATACAAATGCCCAAACAGAAAAAAACCAGTCCACTTTGATCACTGTTGTATCAGTGCTACTTGGCAGCTCTGTATTTGTTAATTTCCTTCTGTTGTTAGCTATAGTAGTAGCTGTCTTCTTGTATCATAAGAAACAGCAGAATTTGCAGCCTGTTTCAAGCATGAATGTGAGACGCTACGCATACAAAGACCTTGAAAAGGCAACCGACAGCTTCAAGCAACAACTGGGCAAAGGTTCTTTTGGAACAGTTTACAAAGGTATTTTAGGATCAGATCCTTGGAGGTATGTAGCCGTGAAAAAATTGGAAAAGATGGTAACAGAAGGCAAGAAGGAATTCAGAACAGAAGTAAGTGTGATTGGCCAGACTCACCACAAGAATTTAGTCTGTTTGCTTGGGTATTGCGACGAGGGGGAGTACCGACTGTTACTATATGAGTACATGAGCAATGGCTCCTTAGCAAGCCTTCTCTTTGGGATTTTCAAGCCAGATTGGAACCAGAGACAAAATATTGCATTCGAGGTTGCAAGAGGCTTCATGTACTTACACGAGGAGTGTAGTACACAGGTCATCCATTGTGACATTAAGCCACAAAATATTCTACTGGATGATTCATTCACGGCGAGGATTTCCGACTTCGGATTGGCAAAGCTTCTGATGAATGATCAGACTCGGACTGACATAGGCATTAGAGGAACCAAAGGGTATGTTGCACCAGAGTGGTTCAGGAACATTGCAATTACAGCAAAAGTGGATGTTTATAGTTATGGGGTCATGTTACTAGAGATCATTTGTTGCAGGAGGAAACTTGAAATGGAAAGGGAGAATGAAGAGGAAGCAATACTGTTTGATTGGGCTTATGACTGCAATAAGGCTCAAAGATTAGATAAGCTGGTTGATGATGAAGAGGTAAGAAATCACATGAACAGGTTGGAGAAGCTAGTGATGGTGGCAATTTGGTGCATCCAAGATGATCCATCTTTGAGGACATCCATGAAGAAGGTAATTCTGATGTTTGAAGGTGTTGTCCAAGTTCCTGCTCCCCCTGTCCTTTCCGTTTCTCATCAATATGGTGACAATTGAAACTACCAGTCATCAGACGTTTTATACCCTTGACAGTTTACACAGATAATTTAGTATTTATTCCAAGAATGTGCGACCTCTGGAGATGGTTGGCGTTACAAATAGATGTATTCCAAGATTGTCTCTAAGCTACCACTTTGGAGTTTGGTCAGGCATGTGCTGAGGCGTGTATCAATTGGTGTCATTCAAACTTGTCTCCAGGCTGGCACCTCCAGGCCTGCCATTACAAATAGCCAAACACCTCCTTCTAGCTTTGATCCTTCTATGTTTAGACGTTCTGATGCATAATTAACAGATCTCTTCTTCTAACCTGTCAAATGTTACAATTAAATCAATATGATGCAGTAGAATATCATTATTGAGATTTCCAAAAATAAAAGATAAAAACCTAGGGTTTTCTCCATGATAGACGACGATGATCGAAGTCGGCATAAGTGTCGTTCCTCCGATTGGAGTTGCCATTCCAGATTCATAAAAGAGAAAAGAGGATTTCATATCTACTGCTCGCTTCCTTAGACTATGATCCCAACAAAACAATCTCGGGTAGAGAGGGAGGGTGGATCGTCGGAGTTTACAGAATGAGAGAGATAGATTGAACGGGGACAAACTCTTTGGGAAATTGCATCCAGACTTGAGAAAAGTTTTGCCACTTACTCACCTATTAAAATATTATATACAGACGCTTATATTTTGTGCGCGCGTGACATTTAGGTTTCGGTCGTTAATGTCTGTTACGAACTGTTAATTAAATTTTATTTAGATCCCTAAAATTTGAAGTATGTAATATTTAAATCTTTTAAGTTTAAAATATTACATTTAAATAAAAAATATTTCAATTAAAAATAAAATATTAAATAATTAAAATTTTATAACCAAAATTTATATTTTATTATGTTATTTATTGAAATAAAATTCAATTTTTTCTTAACAAATTATAATTAGTATTGTTAATGCCAAAATTTGGATGATATTTACGTTAGTTTGTTGGATTTTGATCATCTGAAAAAAAGTTAGAGACCGAAGAAAAGCTCAAGGGGTCGATTCTCTAATACTTAAGTCAGTAAGTGACTCAAAAGTATGAACTATTTTTAGAAGCTAGAGATGACATAACTAAAGTATCTTAGACTAAATGAACTTTTTATCATGGGTCAATTTTTTCATTATCAAGTATGAACATATGAAATAAATCTAATCAACACATTTGTATATTCTATTATATCATCCATTGATATAAAATCTAAATAAAATCCTAATTTTTTTAGAAAAAGATAGTAGTCAGTATAAATATATCAAAGAACTCAATTCAACACTTATTTGCATACGATTATACTGTCTATTAGAATTAAACTAAAAACTCAAACAAGAAGTCCAATTATAATGGACACAATATCTTATATATTTAATTGTGGTAATTTAGTGATTTAATAGGTTTTGTTAGTTTCATAACTAATAAGAGATCTAAGTATAATATTTTAAATTTGATAGATTTAAGTGTTATACACTTATAAATTTTAGAGAATTTGAATATAATTTATTAATAGTTTCGTTCTTGGCGCATAGAAAAAGGAAACGCATTTCTTTTCCTTGCAGTACTACGGGCTTGCAGCAGCTTCTTCTTCTTCTCTGTACGGAAACTTGCTTCCCCGCGGGTTTTGAGGCTTTGAGCTAACTGTGGCGGCTGGAGAAAGTCAGTCGTCTTTGCCCCTAGGGAAATTCGCAGCAGAGTTTAAGTGTCATGCATGCCAATTTTAAGGGTTTGTATATAAAATTTTAAATATTAAAAGATTTAAGTTATTAAGTGATAAATTTAAGGGGTTGAAGTGTAATGTTCCCAAACTATTTTCGTCGAGGACTGAGAGAAGTTACACTGAAATCTTTGGGTAAATCTTACAAAGACCATGAACAATGACATTTATTTTAAATTGTCCCCTAAATTTATAATTATCTCAATTTATCCTCTAAATTATATAATTTTGACCAATAATTTATTCTCTAAATTACACAATTTATTATAATCAATCCAATCTTGTACATAGAAAATGGGCTCAATTTTTTATTCAAATTTCTAAGTCATCTGGTTTAATTCATCGGCTTGAATGATGGAAAAAAAATAGATATTCAATCTATTTAACTAGTGTTTATACTGTAAAACTGATTTTTGACAAAATAAAAAAAAACATATATAATATAATCATAATCATAGAATACGACTCTAATTAAAATATATATAATATAATAGTAATCTTATATGGCAACAAAAAAAAAAAAAATATATATATATATATATATATATATATATCTGTGTGTGTGTGTGTGTGTGGCGACAATGAAATCTTAACATGTTCTTTCTATTAATAAAAAGAACTAATACTTTAAGAAATAGGGGTGTAGCGATGGTGGATAGGAACCTAGGGATTTAAGATTAAGTGATTCAACATTTTTACGATATTTTTAACTTTAGAGCATATATTAACTTATATTTTTTTGATGGCTTTAATTGTAATTGCAATTCATTTGAGAACTTTATTATTATTCTTTTATGAAAACGTAAAACTATTAAATTATTTATGTATGAATTATATTTGTATAGTCTCATATCGAATCATTTATGATTAGCCAAATTATTGATACAAATAATATCCAAATATCAAATCTACCTACATTTTTTGTAATTGTGGTTAAGGGTGTTCGGAATAGCTTACATGTATTTTGATTAATTATCTCTATGATTTTGTCAAATGCAGATCATCTACGTGTGAGACTAAAAAATTCACAAGGGAAAAATCTAATATGGAATTTGCTAAGTTTCGACCTTAGGACGTTTAAATTTATAATTTGTCCTTATCTATTAGGTTACACTTTGGGGTTGAATCTGTCTTCTATATAACTGCAATTAGTGAATTTTTAATTTTCAATAACCTATTATAAAATCTTAAGTGGATGAATAAAAATCTTGAGAAACTCTTTCATTTGTCTATAATTATAGATCATCCATATTATCTATGTAATATGATTAATCTTAATGAAATCTATCTTATTTATCGATTACTCTTAACGACAGATGTCAGTTGAAATAAATTACATAATTTAGAGGACAAATTAAAATAATTAAAAATTTAAGAAGTAATTTAAAATAAAAGTGATAGTTCATGAGTTATTTATGAAATTTATCCATATCATTTTGTTTAGATCTAATAGTTTATCTTATAATTTATATTTTAATTTTTTAACTATAATAATTTTGTTTGTTTAAATCTAATTTGTTAACCACTATAAATATTTTAAAACCGGAAAAAATCTTTCTTTTCTAAGTTTTCAATCTTTTCATTAATTCCTGGAAGACCCTTATTCCCCTAATTCTTTCCACTATACTAATGAATAATTTATAAATAATTCTTAATCCTAGATCAGTTAGTTGTTCTTAAATAGCCCCGATAAACAGTTTAACCACACAAGTTTTAAACACCTTAAAAAAAATGCTTTAAATCGGTTCATCCTACTTCAAGATAGTGTAAAGTTGGGTTTGACAATGGTATGAAGAAAAATTTTGGTGCTGTACCACTTTGTATTTTTTTATATATTTTTACTAATTTTTAGGTGAAGTTTATCAACTTTTGCGATGCACTTACTTGAATTATGTTTTGTGATAATTTAGTCTCTAAATTATACAATCTGACGTAATATAATTAGGGTTGTTAATTAAACTGAGCTACTCGAGCTTGGTTTAAATTTAGTTTGTTCAGGCTCGGTTCGTTTTCTATACGAGTCTAAACTTGAACAAGTTTTTAGACTTAATTAGAAAACAAGTCTTACAAGTTCGGCTCAAACTTGACTCGTTTATGTGCAAATACTCATATTCGGCTCAGGCTTGACTTGTTTATTGACTCGTTCAGACTAGGCTCGTTTCCTAAACGAACGAAACTTGAACAATTTTTTAAACTCGATTAAAAAACAAGTTTTTTAAGCTCGGCTCGAGCTCATTCGACTAACAGCTCTAAATATAATCCTTCCGTCTAAATTTACCAATAATTTTGACAAAAATTTTTAGGTGTACATTACGTAAATCAGGGATTAAGATATAATTTAATAGAAAAAAGATATTACCCGCATTTAGAAATTTTTAAATGTTATCAGAAGACTTTGACAGATTCAAAGTAAAAAGATGGTCAAGTAAAGAAATTTGGTGATTGGGGCAACGAATTGGTGATTGGAGCAATGAATTTGGTGATAGGAGCAATGAACTTTGACACCTTCCAACTGACCAACGTATCACCTCATCACTTCAAAACCCAGAGAATTTGGTGATTGGAGCAATGAAATAAATACAAGTGTCGTCAGAATAGTCAACAAGTCATAGATGAAGATGAACCAGATGGTCAAGTAATTGTCATTGTGATTGCTATGGTTATTATGATTATTCAATGACCCAAAAATCTCAAAAGCATTCTAATCACAGCGTTTTTTATATTCAGATATAAGAAGTCACTCGTTTATCACCTCCATCGGCCTAACTTGGATTTCATGTATGTGAAAATGTAATTCAAGTGTTCCTCTTTGCACAAGCATAGAACCACATGCATCCTTTAAACTTCGGCTTTTAGTTTGGGGGAAGTAGTCCAAGTTATGCTCTTTCCTCAACTACTGGAAAAAAAAAAATAAGGGCTGATTTTCAAACTTTTTTCGTGGAGGACAGAGAGAAGTTTGCATAAAGTGAAATCATTTGGTAAATCTTATAAAGACCCTGAACTATGACATTTATTTTAAATTGTCCCCTAAATTTATAATTATCTCAATTTATCCTCTAAATTATATAATTTTGACCCATAATTTATTATAATCAATCCATTATTGTACATAGAAAATGGACTCCATTTTTTTACTCAAATTTATAAGTCATCTGGTTTAATTCATCACCCTGAATAAAAAATGAAAATAGATATTCAATCTATTTAACTAGTATTTATACAATTAATTTGATTTTCGACAGAACAAAAAATATGTATATAATATAATCATAATCATAGAATACGACCCTAATTAAAATACATATATTTATCTCATACACTATAAGAGGAGGATGAAGTTTTATCAAGTTTTTTCTATTAATAAAAGGAACTAGTACTCGAACAAGAGGGGTGTCACCGATGGTGGCTAGGAACCTAGGGATTTAAGATTAAGAGATTCAACATTTTCATGATATTCTTAACTTTAGAGCATATATTAACTCATTTTTTTCCTATGGTTTTTAACTATAATTACAATTCATTTGATAACCTCATTTTTTTTTATGAAAATTTAAAACTATTGAATTATATTTATAGAGTCTCATAACGAATTATTTATAATTAGCCAAGTCATTGATACAAATAATATCCAAATATCAAATCTACCTTCTTTTTTCGTTATTGTGGTCAAGAGTATTCAAATTAATTTACATTCATCTTGATTAATTCTCTCTCTAATCAAGTCAAATGCAGTTATCTACGTGCGAGACTAGAGAATTCATAAGAGATAAATCCATTATAGAAGCTACTAAGTTTTGACCTCGAGACGTCTGGGTTTATAATTTGTCCTTATCCACTAGATTGCCCTTTGGGTTGAATTTGGCTTCTATATAATTGCAATTAGTGAATTTTTAATTTTTAGTAACCCATTTTAAAATCTTAAGTAGATGAATAAAAATTTTGAGAAAGCCTTTCATTTGTCTATCATTATAGGTCATCCATATCATCTATGTAATATGATTAATCTTAACGAAATCTAGATTAATTTTAACGACAAAGATCGATTGAAATAAATTACATAATTTAGAGGACAAATTAAAATAATAAAAACTTTAAGATGTAGTTTAAAATAAATGTGATAGTTTATGAGTTATTTATGAAATTGATCCATATCATTTTGTTTAGATCTAATAGCCTATCTTATAATTTATATTTTAATTTTTTAACAATAATAATTTTTTTTATTTAAATCTAATTTGTTAACCACTATAAATATTTTAAAACCAAAAAAATTCTTTCTTCTTCTAAGTTTTCAATCTTTTCATTCGTAGACCCTTATTCCCCTAATTCTTTCCATTATATTAATAAACTAGTTATTGTTTGTGCCTGAAGACACAGAGTAATAAAAAATGGTAACACAATAAATATATTTGTATTTATATCCAAAATCAAATCACAAACATAGAGGATAAATAAATAAATTTAAGCATCGGTTGTATTGGTAGTGAGAAGTGGTGGGCGACAGTGATGATGGTAGGAGACAGTGATGGTTGTGGTGGGTGACAATGACTATGGTGGCGGTGGCAGCGGCAGTGACGGTTGTGGCGACGATGATGGTGGGGGTGGCGACGACAGCAACGACGATAGTTGTAGTGGGGTTGTGGCGGCGACGACGGTGATGGTGGTAGTGGTGATAGTAGTAGTAGTAGTGGTGACGATGGTGGTGTTGGTAGAGGTAGTAGTGAGACGATTTCAAACATTATTTTTTTTTAAAGTACTTATAAAAAATAATTCCTAAAAGTACTTTTAAAAAGTCACTTCAAACACACACTGAAAGCCTAATTTTTATATTAAATTTAGGGTGTTAATATTAACCGTTAGATTAACTTTAAAGAAAAATTTAAAGCATTCTCAATTGCGAATAGCAAAAATTTTTTTGTTTATCTTTTAAGATTTGAATTATAAGCTACTTTATTATATAGATAATCTATAAATAATTTGTAAATTTAGATCTATTAGTTGTTCTCAAATAGCCACGATAAACAGTTTAGCCACTCAAGTTTTAAACACTCTAAAAAAGTATTTTAATGCTCCGTTTAATATGATAGAAAAGTAAAAAGATGAAAAGTTAGAATGATGAAAAATTTGAGGGATAAATAAAACATCATATTTGGTAAAGAATAAAAATAGAAAGGATGGAAAAATATATAGATTAACTTTTTTTCCAACTCACCAAAATTAATCCCTCTAAAATCAGAAAGAAACTTAATTATTTGTATTGAGATGTACTTTATTTGTTTATATATACATATATTATGTATTCATAAATTTTATATAAAAATACAATGATAAAAAGATATATATATATATTAAAAAGAAATTTAAAAATAAAAATAAAAAATTAAATTTAAAAGTTTTTAAAAAAAATTCAAATCTTAGTTAGAGGTGAAAATTTTCGACTCAACACAATAACACGACTCGAACTCGATACGAATTTTATGACACGAACTTTAAAATGACTTGACACACGACAAGAAATATAAACAGTTCATATTCAGTTCATCCCGTTAAACTCAAAATTGACACCATCAATCCGTTTGCTTAAAAATAAAATTTTTTCTATTTTTTCGTTTGTATGATAACACGAAATTAATACAAAACTAACACGTTTAACATGAATTCAATTAAGTGAAAAAAGAATATTAGCAGTAAATTTTTTATTCAAAGTTTATGTGAGTCAATATGAATACGAACACAAACACGAACACGACACGAAAATAAACGGATCAACCTGACACGACACAATTAGTTTTTTTTCTTTTTTTGGACACGACACAATTAGTTAAATGAAATGAGTTAGACTTAACTAATGTTCGACACAAACCCGTAATGACTCAACACGAAATCTGACACGACACGATTCGATTGTCACTCTTACTCTTAATCTTAGCTAGCACAAAAAAAAAATTAATTAATCATTTCTATTTTTCATTTATCCTACCAAACACAAATGAAGAAAAATATATCATTCCTACTTTTTTTTTTCTGAAGGATAAAAAAATGTATTCTTCCTATTTTTCATCATTTATACTAAACGGAGCATAAGTTGGTTCATCCTAGTTTAAGATAGTGTAAAGTTGGGCTTCACTATGGTATCAAGAAAAATTTTGGTATTGTACCACTTAGTATTTTTTATATATTTATACCACTTTTCAAATGATGTTTATCATTTTTTGTGGTGCAGTCACCAGAATTATGTTTTGTGACAATTTAGTCTCTAAATTATATAATCTTATTTAATAGGAGTAGAATATAGTTCAATGGGAGATGTAATCTGTATTTAGAATTTATAAATGTTAGCAGAAGACTTTGACACAGTCAAAGTAAACCCTTGCAACTGACCAACACATCACCTCATCACTTCAAAACGCCCAGAGGATTGGTGATTGGAGCAATGAAATAAATACAAGTGTCGTCAGAATAGTCAAACAAGCCATAGATATCTAAATAAAATATCAGTAATTTTAAATTGATTAAAGATCAAATTTAGAATTTAAATGACATAACAGTTGACTTGAGATTTTTTGATGGTGTCATATCATTTGGGTCCCAATAAAAATTTTAAATAATCAACTATCATGTCATTTGGATTTTAAATTTAATCAGTGTAATATTACTCAGAAAAAAATATTGGAGATTAATTTTGTTTTTTTTTAAGTCCTTTAAGTCAATAACATGTACACTGACAAGGTTTGATGAGAAACTTCCTTTACTTTATACAAGAAAAGTCGGAATACGCGCTTAGTTGAAAAGTAAAAACTGCCAAAATATCCAACCAGTTTTGGAGCTCTATTTATTTTCCACCTTCAAGCATAGATTGACCATCAATGGCTTCTTCATCTCTTTCCCATCTTCGCTCTCCTCATCTTCTTCTTCTTCTTCTTCATGTCCTTCCAGCAGTGTTAGCAATCAGTATATCTGATTGTAACATTAAACTGGGCTCATCTCTATTAGCTGGAGACAACAATCCTCTGGGCAATCTCCATCAGGTGACTTTGCCTTTGGATTTCTTCGTCTTGGAGGACCACAAGCTGATGAAGATCTCTTCCTTCTAGCCATCTGGTTGGCTAAAATACCTGAGCTGACTGTAGTTTGGTCGAGGAATGAAAATCCAGTGCCCCGAAATCAAAATCACGCTAACCAATGGTGGGGAGCTTATACTCTATGATAGCAAAAACACAGAGCTTTGGAAGGCTTCTTCAAGTTCAACCAATAATAACAAACCCACTTGTGCTGCTATGCTTGACTCAGGTATGTATATGTAGATGTACAATTAAGTATGAATCATAAAAAAAAAAAATGTATGATTTTATATGTTGTGGATGTGAATATTCGAATCAAACCACGTTGTATAAGACCTCTTTAGCAATGTTATCGCAACCGGATCAACGGGTAGATGATCGGGTCAATGGTTCACTGATTTAATTGTTGGTTCAATAGATTGAACCGGTGTTATAATAAAAATAAAAAAAATGACCTGGTGGGGTGATGGCGGTGGAAGTATGACAGTGCGGTGGAAGTGTGGTGTTTTCTAAATTCTAAAATGTTATTTAAAAAACACACAAAACAATCCTAGTTTGTTATCTAAATTTATCTTTTTTTGTTCTCAATTTTCAAAAAACAAAAATAAAAAATGGCTAGCCAAACAACTTTTATCCCCGAAATTATTTCTAAAATTATTTTTTGAAATGTAAATCAAACATGACCATTTATTTTTCATTTTCTCTTTGTCTTTCTCTTAGTTAAATTTCATCATGGTATCAAAGTAGGCCGATCAAACTTTGCTAGATCAAACAAATATAGAAATGACTTGTGTGCAATCAAGAACGAATAATGAAATATAGCCTTTTCATGTTCGGTGTGTTGTGAATATAGGTCTTAAAAACGAACCATAAGGAACTAGGGTGGCCGGGCACATGCACACCATCATTTCTTAACATTATTGATATTAGGGGTAACAATTTTTGATACGACACGATAATTCGATACGAAACACGATACGAATAAATGGATTTAGGTTGACTAATTTTTTGACACGACCCACCAACACGAAGTGTTAATGGGATGTGTTCGGGTTCAACCCGTTTAACACAAATTGACCCGTCAACACGAAGTTTTTAATTCGAAGTAGATTGACCTAACCTTTTCGTTGCATGTATGAGTTTTCATGTTGTAATAACTTGTTTTTTCTATTACTTCTGATGTTTAATTTAATTGTATGATGTACGATTAACATATTTAATTAGTATTATATAAATAAAATATTAATTATTTGTAACTGTTTATCAAGCACCGACATAATTATTGTATAAAAAAGATACTATTACTTATTATTGTTGTTATTATTATTATTAAGTTAATTTTTAGTTTGTAGAAAAAGTATGAGGAGAGATTCAATTAAGTGAAAATAAAATCTTAGCGTTAAATTTTTATTCAAAATTTATATAGGTCAACACGAATATGAACACGAACACGACACGAAAATAAACAGGTCAACTTGACACGACACGAATAGTTAAATGGGTTGGGTATGGGTTGACTAATGTTCGACACGATTAATATTCGACACAACACGACTTGATTGTCACCCCTAATTAATATAAATATGATTTTTTAATAATTTAGATTATGCCCACCGAATGTGTACCATGTATTTTATTATTACTAGTAATGAACGACGTGCGTTGCACGTCTTAAACAAATTTAAATAATATTTTTTTATAAAAAACTTGAATTATATAAGTAATTAAATTAAAGAATAAATTAAGTGCCTAATAATTAATTTATATTTTAATTATTACTAAATTTAATTATTCATTTATTCAATAAGTCTTTGAATAACTAATCTGCCATTTATTTAGATTTTTTTCAAATTCCTTTAGTCATTTGTCTATCCAATTATATTATAGAATTATTAAGTTTTATTTTGTTAAATAGATTGATTAGATTATCTATAATATTATTATATTATTTCATACTAAATATATATATATATATATATATATATATTTGACCGTGTAATTCAAATTGGTAATTACACGTGTATAATAATTTAACATATATAGGACTTTACTTCTTTATATACATAAATTATATGTAATTGTACTACTACTAAATGAGTTCAAAAAAATTTAAAAGTCTTTATAAAAGAGTTTAAAATAAGTTAAAAGTCAAATAAGAGTAAAAAATAAAAATTAGATGAAAATATATAGATGAGTATAATTGACTTTAGTATAATAATTAGAGATAAAATAAGAAATCAAAAGTTTTTCACAGATGCTGACATTTATAGATAGTATAGATATAACAATTATTATAGACTCTTATATATATATATATTAAGTTTTTGGTACATTTTAGACCCGGATGAGTTAAAACGGGCCAATGAACATATTAGTTGGTTATAGTGCTCACCCAAGAGCGAAATGCTGGCTCCGTCGCTGACTATCTGTCTTCAATTTTCTCGCTTCAATCCATTCTTATATCAAATTTATGGCAGGAAACTTTGTGCAGTTTTGTGTGTGGTGGATGTAGGTCTTTCTCTCATTCATTGTCTTGTTTATAATATTTATGGCAGGCAACTTTGTGATTATAAACGAGGATTCTACTCCAGCGTGGGAGAGCTTCAATGAGCCTACTGACACAATCTTGCCAGGCCAGACATTAAAAATAGACAACCCCCTCAAATCTCGCCAATCAGACACAAATTTCACCAACGGGCGGTTCCAGCTCCATATGCAGGGTGATGGCAATCTTGTGCTTTACACTGTCTCTATCCCAACCGAAAACATCTATGGTGCTTATTGGGCAACTAATACTTGGACTTCCGATTCCAATTCCAAATCACAATTGATCTTTAATCAGGCGGATACATTTATGTTGAACGAGGGAATCAAAATGTATTCAATCTCACACAAAAAGGTGGGGGTTCGAGCCATGATAATTATCTGATAGCCAGGATTGATTATGATGGTGCATTTAGACTATATAAGCATCCGAGAAATAGCTACACCACAGGCGTTGGAAGCTGTAGTTCATCCTGGTCTGCCTTTGAAACGTATCCACCAGACGTGTGCATGATCATGGGAAGTCTAGGCAGTGGGGCTTGTGGATTCAATAGTTATTGTGTCAATGATAATGGGAGGCCAAATTGTTCGTGCCCCGAAGGGTACTCTTTCTTGAATCCATTTGACCGTAAGATGGGCTGCAAACCAAATTTTCAATTGCCTAGCTGTCAAAAAGATGGATGGGAAACAAATTTTGATCGTATAGAATTCAAAGAATTGAATAGCACAGATTGGCCCTTGGCAGATTATGAACTTCAGACCGGGGTAGAAGTTGATAAGGAGACATGTAAACGGTATTGCCTCATTGATTGTTTCTGTGCAGCTGCGATCCATAATGGGAATAATTGTTGGAAGAAAAAATTTCCTCTTTCCAATGGAAGACAATCTTCAGATGTTAATAGAACTGCTCTGATCAAGGTACCCATAGGAGATGCAAATCAATGGCAATATAAAAAAGACAAGTCCACATTGATCCTTGTCGGGTCACTCCTACTTGGCAGCTCTGTATTTCTTAATTTCCTTCTGTTGTTAGCTGTATCAGTGGCGGTTTTCATCTCGTATCATAAGAAAATGCAGGATTTGCAGCCTGGTATGAACACGTTTGGGATGAATGTAAGAAGGTACACATACAAAGAGCTTGAAGGGGCAACTGGTGGGTTCAACTCCAAGCAACAACTGGGGAAAGGTGGTTTTGGAACGGTTTACAAAGGTGTTTTGCCATCAGATCCAACGAGGTTTGTAGCTGTGAAGAAATTGGATAAGATAGCACAAGAAGGCGAGAAGGAATTCAGAACAGAAGTAAATGTAATTGGTCAAACTCACCACAAGAATTTAGTCCGTTTGCTTGGTTACTGCGATGAGGGGGAGAACCGTCTCTTAGTATACGAGTACATGAACAATGGGTCCTTAGCAAGCCTTCTGTTTGGGATCTCCAGGCCAGATTGGAACCACAGAGTTCAAATTGCATTCGGAGTTGCAAGAGGGCTAATGTACTTACACGAAGAGTGCAGCACACAGATCATCCATTGTGATATAAAGCCTCAGAACATACTCTTAGATGACAACTTTACTCCTAGAATTTCAGATTTTGGACTAGCAAAGCCCTTGTTGGTTGAGCAAAGTCGAGCTGCACGGACGGCCATAAGAGGGACAATCGGTTACTTTGCACCCGAATGGTTTACAAAAGTGTCTATCACAGTTAAAGTTGATGTTTATAGTTTCGGGGCGATGTTACTAGAGATCATTTGTTGCAAGTCAAGCGTTCAATTTGCAATGGAGCAAGAAGAGGAAGCACTAATAGATTGGGCCTATGATTGCTACTACAAAAAGAAGCTCGATAAGTTGGTTGAAAACGATGAAGAAGCAAGGAATGACATGAAGAGGCTAGAGAGGCTGGTGACGGTGGCAATTTGGTGCATTCAAGAGGATCCTTCACTAAGGCCCTCAATGAGAAAGGTTACACAAATGCTTGAGGGAGTTGTTGAAGTTTCTATTCCTCCACGTCCCTCTGGTTTTAGTTCTTCTTGAACTATTAGCCTTTCATTTTATCAGACCATTTGTGTAAACATAGGCAACTTTTATGGTTCCCCATTTAAGAATGGATTCTTGAAAGCTTTTCTTTTATTTATACATGTAAGTTTTATTGAAGAAATCCTTTGTGAATTTTCAAATAATGTCAGAAGAGTTCTGTGTGTGTGTGTGTGTGTGTGACTATCGATTTTTCCTTTTCTTTTTCCTAATCAGGCAAATTAACTATTCAATGAAGCCATTAGCTGTTTGATTACAATTAAGATAGAAGTATATATCTGTAAGCTGTATTGTAGAATCTACTATCCAAAAAAAATTCTAATGAATTGTGTGCGTGTGTAACCATCTGTTATTTTTTGAACTATGGTTACAATCAAGCCAAAAGAATGATCTCTAATTCATGGGGTCGACAGCAAAGGAAAGTCATAGATGAGTACGGATCAATGGCTCAATAAGCAGCCTCATTGGAGGACCTATGCCTGTACTTAAACTATTCTACATCTTATTATAGCTTCATTGATTACCTCAATCTTTCTTTGAGGGACTCCTCCTGGAGCCTAAGGATCGTAAACAAGGTAACCGTTATAAGCAGAAGTATTCTGTATTGAGTATGACTTTGACAAAGTGTCCGTAAATGATTTCAAATAGTAGTGAAGTTTCACATATCGGAGACAAACTCTTTGGGAAATTTTACATCCAGACCCTTAGAAAAGTTTGCCACTTACACTATTACGTACAGACCTTTTATATTTGGTACGCGCATGGGTTTCGGCCGTTAATGTCTGTTACTAACTGTTAATTAAATTACATTTAGATCCCCAAAATTTGAAGTATATAATACTTAGATTCTCAAGTTTAAAATATTACATTTAAATAAAAAATACTCCAATTAAATATAGAATATCAAATATTTTAAATTTTATAAACAAAATTCTTGTTTTAATATGTTATTTATTGAAATAAAATTTAATTTTTTTCTTAAAAAATTATAATGAGTATTGTTAATACCAAAATTTGGATGACCTTCATGTAAGTTTGTTGGACTTTGATCACCTGAAAAAGAAGTCAGAAACAGGAGGGGAGCTCCAGAGATTGACTCTTCGATACCTAAGTCAATAAATGACTCAAAAGTATGAACTATGTTTAGAAGTTAGAGATGACATATCTAGAGGATCTTGGATTAAATGAACTTTTCACCATGGGTCAATTTTTTCATTATTAAGTACGAACATATGAAATAAATTTAATTAACACATTTGTATGTTCTATTAAATCATCAATTGATATAAAATCCAAACAAAATCCCAATTTTTTTAAGAAAAGATAGTAATCAGTATAAATATATCAAATAACTCAATTCAACACTCATTTGCATACGATATATTGTCCATTAGAATAAAACTAAAAACTCAAACAAGAAGTAGAACTATAATGAATACAATATCTTCTATCTTTAACAGTGGTAATTTAGTGATTTAATAGATTTCGTTAGTTACATAGCTAATAAGAGATCTAAGTATAATATTCTAAACTTAATAGGTTTATGTGTTATACACCTATAAATTTTAGGAGGATCTGAGTGTGATTGATTAATAGATATATTAACTGAAATTGACGATAGGGTTTAAGTGTCACACGTGTACAAACTTTAGAGGGTTTGTATATAAAATTTCAAATATTATAGGATTTTAAGTGATTAAGTGATAAACTTAAAGAGTCAAAGTGTAATTTCCCCAAACTATTTTTGTCCAGGACCGAGAGAAGTTTGCACTGAAATCTTTGGGTAAATCTGACAAAGAGCCTGAACTATGACATTTATTTTAAATTGTCCCCTAAATTTATAATTATCTCAATTTATCCTCTAAATTATATAATTTTGACCAGTAATTTATTCTCTAAATTACATAATTTATTATAATCAATCCATTCTTGTACATAGAAAATGGACTCAATTTTTTTATTCATATTTGTAAGTCATCTGGTTTAATTCATCAGCCCGAATGATGAACAAAAAAAAATGAAAATAGATATTCAATCTATTTAACTAGCATTTATACTATAAATTTGATTTTTAGTGAAATAAAAAACACATATATAATATAATTATAATCGTAGAATACGATCCTAATTAAAATATATATATATATATATATATATATATATATATATATATATATATATATATATTTGTCACATACAGTAAATGGCGACGGCAAAGTCTTATCAAGTTCTTTCTATTAATAAAAGGAACTAATACTCAAACAAGAGGGATGTCAACGATGGTGGATAGGAACCTACGGATTTAAGACTAAGTGATTCAACATTTCTATGATATTTTTAATTTAAGAGCATATATAAACTTATATTTTTTTTCGATGGTTTTAATTGTAATTACAATTCATTTGATAACTTTATTTGTTTTTTATGAAAACGTAAAACTATTAAATTATTTACGTATGAATCCAATTTATATAGTCTCATAATGAATTGTTTATGATTAACCAAATTATTGATAAAAATAATATCCAAATACCAAATCTATCTATGTTTTTCGTTATTGTGGTCAGCGGTATTCGAATTTGCTTACGCATACTTTGATTAATTTTTCCTCTGGTTCGGTCAAGTGCAGGTTATCTACGTGCGAAATTAGAGAATTCATGAGAGATAAATTCATTAAGGGAGTTACCAAGTTTCGACTGCAGAACGTCTACATTTATAACTTGTCTTTATCCACTAGATTACCCTTTGGAGTTGAATTTGCCTTCTGCATAACCGCAATTAGTTAATTTTTAATTTTCAATAACCCAATTTAAAATCATAAGTGGATAAATAAAAATTTTGAGAAAGTCTTTCATTTGTCTATCATTATAGATCATCCATATTATCTATGCAATATGATTAATCTTAATGAAATCTTTCTTATTTATCAATTAATCTTAACGACAGAAATCGATTGAAATAAATTACATAATTTAGAGGATATATTAAAATAATTAAAATTTTAAGAAGTAATTTAAAACAAATGTGATAGTTCATGAGTTATTTATGAACTTTATCCATATCATTTTGTTTGGATCCAATAGTTTATCTTATAATTTATATTTTAATTTTTTAACTACAATAATTTTTTTTTGTTTAAATCTAATTTGTTAACCACTATAAATATTTTAAAACCAAAAAAGTTCTTTCTTCTTCTAAGTTTTCAATCTTTTCACTCGTAGACCCTTATTCCCATAATTCTTTCCATTATATTAATGAATAATCTATAAATAATTCATAAATCTAGATTGATTAGTTGTTCTCAAAAAACCACAATGAACGGTTTAGTCACTCAAGTTTTAAACACCCTAAAAAAGGTACTTTAAGTCGGTTCATCATAGTTCAAGATAGTGTAAAGTTGGACTTGACTATGGTATCAACAAAACTTTTGGTATTGTACCACTTACTATTTTTTGTACATTTATACCAATTTTAAGGTGATGTTTATCATTTTTTGCATAGATGTTATCAACTTTTGGTATTGTCCATATTTAGATATCATGTGACAAATTTATGATAAAAAAATCGTTAGCAATTTCGATATTGTGTGCTTAAAAGACCACATAAAAATATATTTAATAATTTAAGAACTAAAATAATGCAATTAAAATAATAGATATTGTCCCATAAGGTCTTTATCCCTTGTAAAGTAGGTGTAGGATCCATTTACCCAATAAACTGTTTATCACTGGAAAGTAGCCATTAGTTCCTTGACTATAGAGTAGTATTCCAATCTTTCACATCCTTCTGTTTTTGGTATGAGAGTCACTTGGTATAATGGTTAGCTTTTTTTATATTACAAACAATACAATGTTTAATGTCTTTGCAGCTACCTAATTCTCACAGTAAACTGACAAGAAGGATGTGAAAATGCACACTAAAACATGGTTCATAGAGGGGAAAAAAAAGTATTTTTCTCCAACTGAATATAAAAAAAGCCAGATAATTAAATAGTACCAACTTCAACAAGTTTCTGCCACTGAAATTAGTCTCGCAACAATCTTGTCTTTTTCATTACTAAACAGAACTTCTTAAAGCTTCAGATTTTCAAGGTCATAGACACATCCTCTCTCTCTCTCTCTCTGTGCACGTGATAAAAGGATGCATCGATATGATCCTATCCAAACCATGGCAGTCTCGTGCACTGGGTCGTGCTTTAGATTTTCAAGGTATCGATAAATGGAATGGCATCACGCTTCCAATCGAAAAATCTCTGGATGTAGTCATCCATTGTGAGGGTCATGTATAGAGCTGGGGTTCCTGGCTTGATCAGCTCTTTGGCTGGGCCAATATGGACATTGGTGCTGGGGTAGCAGAAAGTTGCTACTGACAATCGCTCCTTCGAACTGTGTACCACTGCTATGTGTAATGGCGCTTTGTATATCCCATTGCTCATTATCTATATGATTTCAGTAACAAGTGTCTCAACCAAACAGCTCTGCACTCCAAATCTGGGTGTTCATGTCTAGGGATGTAAATGAATCCAGCTGTAGATAAATAGTTGGGTGACGCTATTCCCGCTCCTTAAATTTCATTTTTCATCTCATTTAATTCTTTTATTTAAAACTATTAATTTCACTTCATCTATACTCACCCAATTAATTATTAAGTGCACCCTATTTTTCTCATCTAATTAAACTATTGAATATATATATTTTAAAAAAATTGAAACAAAATTTCAATGTTCAAAGGTGATCTAGAATATTTTAAGGTGTTTTAAAATACATTGCGTATTTTCATCAATGTCTTCAGAATATTTTGAGGTGTTTAACGATAATTTGTTATATTTCAACTAATATTTTTAAAATAAATTATTCATTTTTATTCTGTTTCTGTAATATTTATGTACAGGAATAACACACCAGATTTTTTTTTTTATTATTGCCTATATTACTGGTTGAAATAATATTGAATGAATTTAGATTGTAAGTAAGATAATTAAATAGGTTGAAAAGAGAGATTTAAGAGTTAGAAATAGCCCCACCCTAAATAATTCAGAATCGAATGATCGATTCATCGTCTAAACCAAGACTAGCATGGATAACAAATTGACGAATCAAACTTAAACAAGATGTTTGAAGCCCGTCATTGTTGCTTCGTTCAGTTTGATTCATTTGCACTCCAATTCAAAATACAACAAATTTATTTTTTAACGACGAACTAACTCATTACAAAAGGTAACAATTAGGTCGCTAACGAAGCCTTTTGGCAACAACTAAAATAATTGTGGCCAAAAACATCATAAAAATGTTTTTCATGAGAAAGTTTTGCAAAAACTCAATTTTGACAACTAATTTTATTATTCATTACCAAAACTCGTCGTTGAAAACAAATTTCGTATAGTGTCATATCCTTCAAAAGTTAGGTATATAATATAGAAGAAAAATGTTATTTGTATCTAACTTGGGAATCAAATCTATTTCTATTAATCTAATAGTTGTATTGAATTACGTCCTCAAATTAGATCTTTATAAAATTGCTCTATGTAAAACGTGTGTGTGATTAATAGTAAAGTTTTAATGGAATAGCTTCAACTTTTCTGGTTATAAAGAATAGAATTGTAACAAAATTGAAGCCATTTGAAGGTAATGCTTAGCTATAAAAAAGAGGTATCAATTTATCGACCCATGCTAATACGTAGGAACCTAACATGGGATTAGCGGGTTAAAATTAACTTGTCCTCTATGCCCTTTGAAAATTCATGAACCACCAATGAGAAAATAAAAGGGTTAAATTAGTATCAAATAGGAAATAATACGATACCCTATAATTAATGGTTGGGGACTAGTGTTAGATCTTATACACTTCTATTTATGTGCGTTTGGTTATCGTTGATTGATACTTGGCATACATCCCAATGGCACAACTGGAACACGACTCCATCGAGCCTTAGATAGGTAAGCCCTGGATTAGAGCAATGTTGTTTTGATCTAACTCGTTGATTTAATTTATTATAATTTTTAAATTAATTGTGAACTCTGTCAAATATTAAAATTTAATATTATTCTAAATAACTATAATGAAACTCAGATGTCAAACGAATTTTGGTAATTTCTTAGACGCAGAACACAAGAAATTTATTCTTAGTGCATACTCTCTAATTCAGGCGTGAATAGTCTATCTTTGATAAAATTTAAAAAAAACGATTAATCAAAATACGTATAAATCAACTCAAACACCAAATTAAAAGGGTGTACCTTGATAATAGTGCCAATGTCGACAGCAAGGGCATCAGCTATTGGTTTGACAGAAACCCAACGGCCATCCTTCAAGACCTGTAATCCCGGTGTGTCGCCGCAGTCGAGCAAGAGGGTGATCCCGCTTATGTCGACATGTGAAGCGATGCCGAGAACTCGTTCCGATTCCGGACATGGAGGGTAACAGTTCAATCTCAGGTCATATCCCCCATCTTGGAAAGCCTTGGACAGTTCTTCTGCTTTAAGGCCAAGCATCATGGATATGAAGCCTGCTATGGAAACTGTAGTCTCTCTCATGTTCTCTGAGTATGTGTGGATGGTTTCCCTGAGACAGATAAATTAGGAACTATTTACATTTTGAAACAAAATTGTCAAATTACCATATTTTTTGAACTTATTTATCAAATTATCATATTTTTTAAAAAAACGGAGTCGATAACCCTACTTTGAATCTTTGGTCGGACAAGGTACTTCGGTGTTTCAATCGGATGCAAAAGAAGGGTGTTAATCCCAATAAATTCACTCTTAAAATTGGGGTTGGTCCCAGTTTTTAAAAAGTGTCGTAATTTAATAAATAAATTTAAAAATATTATAATTTGATAATTTATTTTAAAATTGACATAGATTGATAAATAATTCGATAAATCAGTTAGTGATTGGACATGATGAAAAAAGACATGGTGTTGTTATAGATAAAAGTTCATAAAGATTGAGTAGTGGCAATAGCAAATTAGTGTGGTTATTCCGAATGGGTTACTTAGTGGTCGAAGAAGGGACGAGAGGTGAATCTCAACGTCTGAAGTTTGAATTCTTTTTGGCTTAAAGTCTGGATTTTACCAACATGTGCAGTTTGCGTTGCTGCATACTATACTTTGCCCCATTAAATTAAAGGTTAATAATATTTTTAGTCCCTAAAGTATGTTCGTTGTGTCAGTTTGATCTTTATTGTATTAATTTTATTAATTTGGTTCTTAAAATTTCAATTCGTATCACTTTGATTTCTAATTAGATAATTCGTTAAGTTTTTTTTACAGAAATGATCACGTGTCATTCTTTTAGACTGTATCACATGATCAAAATGTGATAATTGAATATTTAAAGGATTAAATTGATAAAATTGATATTTTAATAACTAAACTGACAAAATGTGCATATGTTAAAAGATCAAAAATACTATTAATCCTTAAATTAATCATCTCATACAACATGCATTACAAATGAAATGCCAACGGACAAAAAATGAGGCACCGTTTGCAAGGTGGGACACATTGCTACTGGTTAACGTATGGGACGTAATTTTGGTCCCATCAACCTTTTTAAATGGGATCTACTGATCTAATAATCTCCTTTCATTTTGGAATGTAAATTTGAGTTACAAATTTGAGTTACATAGTATTGCTCTAAAAAAAATGTAGGTTTTAACGTGAGACTTTAACCCGTGAAGGAGTAAAATGAAAATTTTAAATCATCGGAACAAAGTTTGAGGGAGGGGGAGGGGGGAGAGAGAATAAGTTTAAAAAGCAGAAAATAGAAGGTCCTTGAAATTAATTTACCTGAACTTGTGAGGTTGTAGTTTGGCCAAAATTCTAATTTCCTATTCTCAGTGGGAAGAGCCTTAAGGAAAATCATGTCATTCCATTCTAGCTTCTGATCTTCAGAGACAACAAATGCTTGACCATAACCTTCAAGAATTCCTGGCTTCTGCGCATATCTCTTCTTCTCTTGTTGCGAAAGTTCAAAGAACTATTGAGTTTTTCTCTTCATGTTTACTAGAAATTCATCAAATATTCCATGTGATGGGACTTTTCTGAAATACTCTATGATGAAGACACGTGTCCTCGATATTTATCAAAATACTGTTGCTAAGATGAAGCACCATCGGCGCACAAGGTCCTCGCCCCCGAGGTACTCGTCATATAGGATCATGGCATTCAGTACATTTTACAACCAACACGTAGCCTCGGTCTGATATGGTACCTCGGTCGGTATCCCTCCCTCGGCTCCGAGATGAGCCTTTCCTCGGTGCCGAGGTGTACCCCGTCCTGGACGCCTCCTCTACTCCAGGATAAGTTATTGACGTACAAGTCATTAGCCTAAGCTAGTCTAGGCTATTCATCATGACCTCGTCTTACACAATTAGTGTCAGAACGTACTGGAATGCAGGGGGCCACAGCCAATGGGGGATGGACGCGTGGCATACGATATCACATCAAAAACAGAAAAGCCGCATGCCGTTGCTGACACGCAACTTGGGAACACAAACGATTAATTGCACCACTCCCTTGACAAGACTGCATTCAATGCGGTAAGGCTCGGAAATGAAAGACAATAAATGCTCCTAATACAGAGCATTTATTGCATCCTCCCCGAGATGAGTATATTGTACCGTCGGCATCCCGATGACGCAGCATTGATTGCTCGGGACCCCGAGCAGTTAAGAAGAAAAGACATTCCTCATCAGAATCAGTGCGCACACTGCATGTACCTAATGATCACCTACTGACTACACTGACAGCAATCATGAGCTTTTGAGGTATAAATACTCCTTGCAAAAGGCAAGACGGGTATGCAACAAGAACTCTTTACTACAATACACACTCAGGTTTTCTCCCTTCCTCTCTCTTTCTCAAAGACTGACTAGATCGTCGGAGGGATACGCCAAAAAACACTCCCGCGCCCTTCTAACTTGTTCTTCTTTGTTCCAGGAACCTCTTTCAGCCTTACTAGATTGTTCTTCCCGCTCCCCCAGGGTCTCCCGTTGCCGTTTCAGGTTACCACCGGACTCTCGCAGGCTGTTCCAAGCAGCGTGGTTGGTCACTCCAACTGGCTCACTCGAGTTCACCAGGGAGAGATCTGTTCTCGTTTTTATATTGTGCAGGATCTTGCACGCACATCTGGCGCCGTTTTGGGAAACGACTAGTTTTCCCTAGTTTTTTTCTCTATAAAGAACAGTGACGACCATGGTGAACACTCGACAGAAAGGAAAAGGCCCTCACCAAAGAGTCTCGAGTTACAAGCTCCCTGTCATCACGGAGGAAGGGATCACACCGATATAATAAAAGAAAGTGCCTCTACTCGGTCAAGAGGGTTTACCTCTCAAACCAGTATGGGAATAAGGTCAGGGGGATCAGCCCCCTTTGGCTCGTCAGCTGGCGGAGGTGATTGAAGAAAAGTTTCGGCAATAGATTACGACAGCTGGAAAAAGACAATGTAAACGTTCTAAGCCGCTCACACTCAACGAGTTTGCCGCCTCTGGCGAAGGATCGAGGGATTCATTCCTTTCTCGTGGGGCTTCCCGCCGAGAGGCGGAAACGAAGGATCTAAGAAATCACCTAAACAACAAAGCAGAAAGCTCTAGGGCCTCAAAGCGACCCAGAGCCGACGAGCATCATCATGACAACCATTCAATAAAGCAAGGTCATTGGCCCTGGACGACCTCCGGCGAGGTTTTGTCTAGACGGAGGAAGGGAGATGAATCCGAGAAGGCTCCACCCATCCACACGACGCCCAGGAAATGAGAGGCTTACCGATAACTCAAGGACTTCAGAAGGCATCCCGTCAGGGAAGAATATTATTACTTTTGAAGTATCCTCTCCCTCAAGTGCTTGCCAACGACAAAGATAAAGGGCAAGGCCCTGGGGACAGAGTTCAAGGGCTCCTGTCCCCAAGCAAATACAAGAGCAAGCCTCTCCTGGAAGGGCAGGCCCTGGGGACAGAGTTCAAGGGCTCCTGTCCCCGAAGCATATACAGGAGCAAGCCTCCTAGAAGGGCAAGGCCCTGGGACAGAGTTCAAGGGCTCCTGTCCCCGAAGCATATACAGGAGCAAACCTCCTGGAATGGCAAGGCCCTGGGGACAGAGTTCAAGGACTCCTGTCCCCGAAGCAAACACAGACCGTGCCTCTTGAATGGGCGAGCAGCCCCGAAGACAGTTCCAAAAAAAAAAACAAACACTACTGTACGCAAAAAAGGAAAAAGTACTCATGATTTATTTCAAGAAGATGGGTTTTACGTCCCTAAAGGCTACAAAAGAAAAAGAGTACAATCAAAAAGCAAAAGGGCTTTCATCTGGCCTCGGGCATCTCCAC